CTTAAAAGCCCTTTTATTAGCCGGGGACCAGTGGCTCACTCCTGTAACCATAGATATTCAGGAGGCTGAGATCTGAGGTTCACAGTTCAAAGCTAATTAGGTTAGGGAACTCTGGGACTTTTATCTCCAGTTAACCACCATAAAGTCAGAAGTTGAGCTGTGGCCCAAGTGATAAAACTCTAGCCTCTAACTCAAAAGCTCAGAGACTGCACTATTCCCTGATTTCAAGTTCCAGGCCAGCACAAAAAACTCCAGCCAGACAAACAGAAAACAAGCCAAACCCTTCTAATAAAGAAATATATTGAAATGACTTTTTGATAGTAACTGATTATAGTGGAGAGTTTTTGTTTCACCTTCATTTTTTAGTTAGTGGAATTCACCAATATTATTTGGATCCTTTCAGCTACCTTAAGAACTTGCCAACTTTTACTCTTTCCCCACTTTACAATTTAAGCATTTTCTAATAGTGAAGAAAGCAGAAGCCTTTCAAGAAACTTGATGTATAGGATCATGACAGCTGTGTACCGTCTGCTCAAGGTAGTGTTGAACAAGCAATTGTATAAGGATGATTTCTAAAGGCAGTCTTGAGTAGGAATGCCAAAGAAGCCTCTACTTGTGTGCCCATCTTTTAGGTTTCTGATACTCATCAGCTTTCAGGTTCTGTTGTCTGTAAGGTAGATCTTTGCAACAACCTTGAAAGTCCTAGCTGTAGTTTGAAGTAAGTTATACCAGTTTTAAGGTTGTAGAAATTCAGTTAATGAAATTCAGAGATTTTTTTTTTTTTGGATTAGCTCCATAAAGTATAACCTTTGTAAGATTATTTCTCTCCTAATTTAGGTGCTGGTGGCTGATATTTGTAATCATAACTCCTAGGAGGCTGAAACCTAGAGGATCATGGGTCAGAGCCAGCCTGGGCAGAAAAATCTATAAGACTTTATTATCTCCAGTTAACCAACAAAATGCCGGACTGGTGGTAGGGCACCAGCTATAAGAAAGCCGAGCTAGAGCAAGAGGCCCTGAGTTCAGATTTGAGTACTGGATTTATGTGTTATTTTAATTTCCTTTTTGCTTGTATTAAGGCTTAAATTCAGAACATGGTATACTCATTTGGCCTTCTTTCTCATGGCTGGCACTCTACCATTTGAGACCTACCTATAGTCAAATAGTTTTGCTGGTTCATTGGATATATTGTATCAAACTGTTATGCTTGACTTTAATACGCTGGCTAAAATTCGTAAGGGATAAACCTTTTCAGATTTTTGAAGCAAATTTTCTGTTCACTGATAAACTTGAGAATAAGCATCAGTTATTAGGATTACCTTGTGGTAGTATGATTGGACACATTTGGTTAAAATTAGGATGGAGAGGACCATAGGGAAAGGCTCTAGGAGATAAGATTTTTTTTTTAAAATCAGACCTAGGAAAAACTTGTCTAGCATCTTTCTAAATAAATAAAAGGGAATTACGGCGGCAGCGGTGGTGGTGGTGGTGGTGTTGGTGGTGTTGTTGGTGGTGTTGGTGGTGGTGGTGGTGGTGGTGGTGGTGGTGGTATTGGTGGTGTTGGTGGTGGTGGTGGTATTGGTGGTGTTGGTGGTGGTGGTGGTGTGGTGTGGTGTGTCACACGTGCACATCTGTATTCATCCTTGGTTTTGAGGAATAGGCTGGCTGACCATTCAGCTGGATCCAATCTCTGAAAATATGGTTGGATTAGATGGCCCTTCCTAACTCAGTAATGATAAGTCACAATGTATATTAGGGGAAGAAAAGCTGTTTTTGTAGGATAGCTGATTTACATTTTTGGTAGGAATTTTATGTCTTATTTTGAAGTCTTGAAGACATTTTGTTTAGTCTTTAGAAACTGATTTTGTGTATTGATGTGCATTGACTTTTTACAAGGGAGTTATTAGAAGCTTGTGGGTGTTGTTAGTTCAGTGGTGTAGTGCTTGGCAGGCATGCTTTGAGACCCTGGGTTCCACTCCCAGTACTGCAAAAGGAAAATAAAAGTAATAGCTTGGGTGTTAAAACTTCAAACTTTTCAATTTGTCTTAACTATGTCATCATAACTTAGGTTTCCTTACAGATTAAACTTTTAACCAGTTTATCTCCTTTGGAAGTATCTGTAAATCAGTAATGATATGTCTTGAGAAAATGAGCTAGTTTGTAGTTGGTAGTTTAACAAAAGTATGAAAGATAGCTGTTTAAACTGATTTTTCTAGTCTCTTGAAGGAAAAAAAGTAAATTTGATTAAACAGAAGCTTTAGTCGTTTATGTCTGTAATCCTAGCTACTTAGAAGGTTAAAATGTGAAATTGGTTCAAATCCTGCCTGGGCAGAATGGTCTGAGAGATTCTTTCTCCGATTAACCAACAAAAAGACTGGAAGGGTAGGGTGGCTCAAGTGGTAGAGCACTAGCTATGAAACATAAACTTTAACATGCATGTGTGTGCACACATTTCAAGTGACACTATGCTAATAGAGAAATTTAATTTTAGCTTCAGATTGTGGTAGCAGTTTAGAATGAATATTGCTGAAGTAATTTAAGAAGTGTTTAATAAGATGTGAGTCATAGAAGTAACGAAGAACTTGATTTTTCTGGATTATTATGTATTGTGGTTCCTTTGAATCTTTTCCTTTTTATTTTAAAGATTTTTTTATTGTGCAATCTGGGCCAGTATACTTTGGAATTGTGACTGAAGCAGGAATTTAGATTAAATTTGTATTTTGATGACTGTTTCTTGAAATGGGTAATGCTTTGTTATTACAGATTTTCTTACTGATTTGTAGGATTAGACTTTTTAGTTTTTATTTTTCTCATATTGTCTTAAATACAAAGACTCTGTAGCTCTCTTATGGCTTTTTTTTATGTGTTTACTTATGTGCTCATGGCTGGTATTCTACCACTTGAGTAATGTCTCAAATCCTGTTCTTTATTTTAGATATAAAAACAGCAGTTTAAAAAAATTCTTATTGTAGATGTAATATATTTGTAAAAATACTTTTTTTGTGTTGGCACTGGGGCTTGAACTCAGGGCCTAGGCACTGTTTCTTTTTTCACTCAAGGTTGGCATTCTACTATTTGAGTCACATCTCTACTCCTGGAGTTCTGGTGGTTACCTGGAGATAAAAGCCCATGGAGGGGCTGGGAAGGTGGCTCAGTAGTAGAGCGCTTGCCTTGCATGCCTGAGGCCCTGGGTTCATTCCTTAGCACCACATAAGCAAAAAGAAAAAAAGCCGGAAGTGGCGCTGTGGCTCAAGTGGTAGAGTGCTAGCCTTTAGCTGAAGAGCTGAGGGACAGTGCCCAGGCCCTGAATTCAGGCCCCACGACTGGACCCCTCCCCCTCCCCCCCCCAAAAAAGCCCATGGACTTGCCTGCCTGGGCTTGGCTTCTGAGCCTCAGTCCTCAGAGATTGGCTTTCTTAGTAGTTAAGATTGCAGGTGTGACCTGATGGTAGGGGAAAAACAAAGGGAGGAAAAACAAAGGAGGGAGGCAACAATACTGGATAAGAATGTACTTGACCTTGCTCACGTAACTGTAACCCCTCTGTACAGTATTTTCACAATAAAAAAACTTATTTAAAAAAAAAAGACTACAGCTGTGAACCATTGGTGCCCAGCTTTATACTTGTAAACTTTAAAACATCCCTTTAATAAGGGATTTACCTATTTTGTCATGTTTTCTTCAAATACTTTGTGCTTTTTTTATATGTATATAATTTTTAATATAAATCTGGATGTTTTTATTTGATCTGAATGACCCAGCCTTTTTCCTACTTACTTGAAACAAAATATTAATTTTTGTATCTAATTGTATTTGGGGTTTTGAATTCTATTGTCTGTTCTTTAATCTTTTGCTCAATTTCATACCCCATGTTCAATTATCTTAGCCTATGCTCTTGATTTTAGAAAGTGATTTCATCATTTATAGAATCCTCTAAACTAGAAAGATAGGTGTGGTCTTAAGACTCCTCACTCAATTTTACATAATTATCTTACCTTAGTTGTTCCACTCAAGTATTTCTGCTTGCATTGACTTGATATAATCTTCTTTGATATATTGGAACTATTGAAGTAATTTTAATTGGTATTCTTGAACTTATTATTTTTTTTGGAGTCAGGGTCTCACTATGTAGCTCAGGCTGACTTTTTAATTTTATGCTATCCTATTTCTCAATTTTTGCTTTTATTTTCTAAGCTATTTGAGTTCTAGTAAGAAAGTTACTGCCTGTGTCTTTATGTGTTTTTCTTCATCAGTTTCAGAAGTTCAGATTTTTTTTTTTTGTACGTTAAAATTCTCAGGGTTTTTTTTTTTTTGTACATTAAAAATGCAAAAGTCAGTTGGCTTTATCCTAAGGTTTTAAGTGCATCTGTATTATATATCCTTTTCTACAATGTATCTGAGGTAATATTAGAATACAGATCACTTTTCTGTAGTCTATACATATTGACAATTTATGTGAATATTAGAATACAGATCACTTTTCTGTAGTCTATACATATTGACAATTTATATGAAGAACCTAACACCAGAATCACTTTTTTGCTTTGAGTTAATTTTATCAGAAACTATCCCCCGAGGTAAGGGATGTATCTATAGTCAAGGCAGATCTAGCTAAGTATTCAGATCACAGGTCTTTTTTTTTTTTCCCCCCCACTTCTTGTAACAATTGAGTTAATCTGCAAGTGGGGCTGATATGCTATTGGTGCTTTTCAACATTTAACTAGGGCTGTGGTGGTCACTTTTGCATATACATTGTTTTATGCAGTAAGTGGTGCCTTGAATGATCCACTTCAGTTTTTTCCCCTAAAGTTCAGGAGTTTTAATGACTGTCCTGTGTGTGTGTGGTAATATTTCATACCTTTTTATTTTCACATATGGTAAGTAGTATACAACAGTACCATACAATAAAAGGAAAAAAGGCACTTAAAAGAATGGGGATTTTGTAAGATTTAATTTTTATAAGATTTGACTGATTTTCTTTTTCTCCCTTGCCTCCCATCTAGGTTTTATAGGTTCATGTTAACAAAAGCACCATGGAGTTTTATGAATCAACATATTTTATTGCCCTTATTCCTTCAGTAGTTATTACAGTAATTTTCCTCTTCTTCTGGCTTTTCATGAAAGAAACGTTATATGATGAAGTTCTTGCAAAACAGAAAAGAGAACAGAAGCTTATTCCTACAAAAACTGATAAAAAGAAGGCAGAGAAGAAAAAAAATAAAAAGAAAGAAATTCAGAATGGCACCCTGCACGAATCTGATTCTGAGAATGTACCTCGAGACTTTAAATTATCTGATGCTTTGGCTGTAGATGATGAACAAGTTGTACCTGTTCCATTGAATGTGGTTGAAACTTCAAGTGGTGTTAGGGAAAGAAAGAAGAAGGAAAAGAAACAAAAACCTTTGCTTGAGGAGCAGGCCATCAAAGATATTGATGCATCAAAGATTCCTGGCAAAAAAATAGAACCTGTCCCAGTTATAAAACAGCCTACCCCGCCCTCTGAAGCATCTGTCTCAAAGAAGAAACCAGGGCAGAAGAAGTCTAAAAATGGAAGCGGTAATCTATTTAACTTTATTGCATGATTATATTAAGTCTGAAAGCTTAAGTTACTATGTGTTTACTTTCATCAATATTGTTGATAAAAAGTAATGTCAAAAAGCAGTATTTTAAACATCTTAGAACTATAGAAAAAGCTGTGTGCTCACAATTTGTAATGCTATCTACTCAAGAGGCTGAGATCTGAGGATTCAAGTTCACAGCCAGTCTGGGCAGGAAAGTCCATGAGACACTTACTTATTCCCAGTTAATCAGAAAAAAGCCAGAAGTGGAGGTATGGCTCAAGTGGTAGAACTCCAAAGCCATGCCAGAGAAAACACAATGCCCTGAGTTCAAACTCCCAGTAGCAGCACCAAAAAAAGGAAATAAAATATATAACTAGGAAAGACTTTAATGGACATTTACGAAACAACTGGTGGTCTTACTAAAGCCACTAAGGATCTGTAGTTATCATCAGTCAGAAATTACTACATTAATTTTGAACCAATGCTTTCTAGTTTGTGATAGGAATTATAGATGAAAAGATATTACTTCCTTTGATTCAGTTTGCAAACACTTATTGGGACATCTGTATTATGTGAGACATTATACCAGGTACTGGGACTACAAAGATGAATAGTTCGTTTCAAGGTAGTTACATGTTAGCTGGAGACACAGAACTACTAGGTCATTAAAATACAAAAACTTTGTTGGGTACTGATGGCTTACACCTGTCATTCTATCTACTCAAGAGGCTGAGATCTGAGGATTGCCATTTGAAGCTAGCTCAGGCAGGGAAGTCTGTGAAACTCTTATCTCAAACTGCCAGAAAAGCTGGAAGGAGCTGTGGCTCAAGTAGTAGAGTGCTACCTTGAACAAAAGAAGCTCAGGAACAGTGCCTAGGTCCTGAGTTTGAGCCCGGGACTGTCATACAATGCACAAAAATACATAAAATTTTTAGTGTGATACTTTAGGTATGTCTAAACCATTGTAAGAGTTCTAAAGTAGGCCACTTAAAGTATAAAGTTCTGGGAATTTTCAAATTTGAGTAAGTGCAAGCTAGGCTTTTTTGGCTGTCAGGAATGGCTGTGATAGGGACCCAAGGGAGGTATAGGTGTAGTCAGTTCTATATATCCACAAATTCTGTTTTGTCAGATTTAATCATCAGTTTAAAATATTCCATTTAGAATTGTATCTTTTATTGAGCAGTTACAGGCTTTTTCTTGTTATTCTTTGAATAATACAGAGACCATTTTTTGTAGTATGTACATTGTATTAGGTATTTTATAATCCCTAAAGTGTATGGGAAGAATACATAGGTTATATGTAAATCTTAGGCTCTTTTGTGTAAGGGACCTTAACATCTGTAGATTTTGGTGTTGCAGGGAAGTTTTGGAACCAATTTCCAAAGGGATATTAAAGGATAACTGTACAATGGAAAGGACCTTAAAAATGGCAAGTGATATGTAGAACTGAGAACAGTTCACTTTGTATGAAAGGACTTAAAAAGTCATTTGTTTATCTTAAAGAGTGTCAAGTTGTTTACAGTTATGACCAAGAATCGTTCTACAGAAATAAGAGTAAAGTGAGGAAGAAAGATACCTAAGCCAGTCACAAAATGTGATGGTATATATATGTAGAGAAGAAATGCAGAAGTCAAAGCAGCTATTACAGGTACTGCCTGGGGGTAGAGGGGTAGAGGGCTAAGGAGAAGGATAAAAGTCAAAGAGGAGGCACAAGTGCCTGAGTTGCATCTTGAAGACTGAATCACTTCAAGCAAATAATGGAGTTCATTCCACATTGACAGAATAGAATGTGTGAGGAAACAGAGGGAAGTATATGTAGAATGTTTTTATTGCAGCCTAAAAGATCCCAGTATCTAGATCTTGATCTTTTATGTATCATTCATTCCAGGAGCTGGGACTTCTTAGGTTAACGGTTAGTGAAGATTTTCAAGCAGGTTAGTTACATGGTCAGATTTATAGTTTAGAGATCTTTGGGAGATTTGTGACAGCAGATTTTATGTGGCAGTTTTGAGATAATACTTAGGAGGCAGTTACAGTTTACAAAATAAAAAATGACATGACCAAGCTCATTTAAATAGGGATAGGTAGTTAAAGGTGTAGACAGGCTTGGCAATCTATAAGCTGTGAGCTTTATTTGTTGCCCACCATGTTTTATGGCCTGTGAGCCAAGAATAGATTTTACATTTTAAATGATTGGAGGGAAATAAATAGACAGATGATACTTAAAGATGTAGAAATTATGAATCAAACCTCAGTGTCTTTAAAGGTTTTAGTTTTGGTCCAGTCTTTTCTTCATTTATATACATCTTAGTTTTCCCTGTGCAGAGGCAGATTTGAGTACTTATGATAAAATCTGTAGTGGCTTGCAAAGCCTAAAGAATTTTCTGTCTGGGCCTTGACAAAAAGTTTTGTAATTCCTGATTGAAATGTGGTTGTTAGTATAAGAGAATGGACAAATTAGAGTGATTGGAAAGGAGAATGCTTTCAGCTTGTGGTCCAGGTGCTTGTAGCAGCCCAGGATGTGGTAAGATATGTGATTGTGGAGGAATAAGGTTTTTATGTGTGTACACAATAATTCAGAAGCTTTAAAGGATGAAGATAGTAACTGAAGTCCACTGGTATAGGTAAGGACATCCAAAGGATCTATTTAAATTGAAGATATAACCGAAGAATATCAGCATTGAAGCAGTTCACAAGGAGAACTATGAAGAATATTATGAGCGTAAGGACGATTCTAGGAGCTGATATAAAACAATTTTTTTAAAAGGAATTTTTTCTTGTGGTACTGGGGTTTTCACTCAAGAGTATTGTAGTTGCTATGTACGTGCTGTACTCCAGGGCTCCACCCCCACCCCCTTTTTTTCCTGTACTAATTTTTGTCAGAGTTTTATGTTTTTGCCTGAGGCTTGCCTTATACTATAATCCTCCTTCTTGAGTAGCTGGGATGACACACAAAATCTAGAGAATGTACCTTTATTGTGTAGATCTCTGACTCTAGAGAAGTAGGAGTAAAGTGAGGAAGAAAGATACCTAAGCCAGTTACTTATTCCTGTAAATAATAGCTGCTTTGACTTCTCCATTCCTTCTATACATATACATACATCACATTTCTACATCCAGACTTCTTAATCAGATGGTGGTCCCTCCTAACTTTTTGTTCTATCTTTATCTCCTGAGTAGCTAGGGTTATAAGAGTGAGCTACCATATCTGGATTTTTTTGTGTGTATGCATATATATATATATATGTTGTAAAATACATAAAACATAAAACTTAACATTTGAACAATGTTAAGTTCTGTGGTGTTAATAAGTACATTCATATTTTGTAGCCTCTGCAAAATTCTGGTCTTCTCCAGCTGAATCTCTAGACCCATTAAACACTAATTTCCTTGTCCCCTAGCTCCAGGCAACCACCATTCTACTTTCAGTCTTTATGAATCCAGCTACCTTTGGAACTTCATATAAGTAGAATTTACAATATTTGGCCTTTTGTACAAGCTTATTTCACAAGCATAATGGAGAGGAAATTTAAGAAAGGGATGAAGACTAACACAATGAAATGGTGAAGAATAGTGAAATAAGGATTGAATATTATTTATAGTATGTAGCATTTGGGACACTGGAGACCTGATTTAATTCTTTTATGGAGTGAGAGATAAAAATTAGGTTTCAAAATTAGTTGAAAAGTGATTGATAGAAAAGGGAGTATAAACTTTTGTCTATATAAAGAAATGGGTGTAAGAGGCTGGAAATTACAGTGGTAGGGAGGGTTTTCTGTTATATATATTTTTAATTATAGAGACCTGACTATACTATAGGCTGAGTAGGATTAGTAATGGAATAGTAGGATTAGGAGTGGGATATAAAAGAAGAGGCAAGTACATTGAAGAGCTAGTATAGCAGACTAAGAAAGCTGTAATGAAAAAGTCTTGCTGAGAGATAAATATCAGACATTAAGATTTTAGTGGTAAAACATTCATAAGAAGCATTGATTAATAACTACAACCTTTTTGATGTATTTATTTTTTTCTATGATTTTTTTTTTTTGTGTTTATGGTTAATAAAGATGACCTGGAGAAAAAGGTAGACACGCTCATGGCACCTTCAAAAAAGCAAGAAGTATTACCCTTCCATCAAGAGATTAAGCAAGAAGGTGGATCAGGAAAGAAGAAACTTTCATCAAAGAAACAGAAGGCAGAAAATGGTAAAATACGCATATGTACATATAATAAAGGCTAATTGTGGAGAAGTACATTAGGAGAGGAACCCTGGAGATTTTACAGGACTTTGAATTCCCAGTTTGTTGTTTTAAATTTTATTTACTGTAAAGATGCTGTACAGAGGGGTTATAGTTACCTGAGTAAAGGAATGGGTACATATCTTGTCAAGCATTGTTATCCTTTCCCTTGTTCTCCCACGATATATCCCTTCCCTCTCCTACCTCCTTCACTCCACCCAAGGTTGTAAAGTTGGAATTCCCAGTTTTAATATGTGTTATAATTGAAATTCTAATTGAGTCAAATTCTCTTTAGCTTTTTTGGCTTTGTCTTGCTTTAACAGATAAGGCTGAATGAGTATAAATTTGCGATAAGAAATTTATACATTGTAAATATTCTCATTCTTAGTTTTTGGGGAAAAATAGCATATAAACTTTTTTTTTGCCTGCCCTGGGACTTGAACTCAGGGCCTGGGTGCTGTCCCTGAGCTTCTTTTGCTCAAGGCATCACTCTACCACTTGAGCCACAGTACCACTTCTGGCTTTTTCTGTTACAGTGGTTCTGAGGAATCGAACCTAGGGCTTCATGCAGTCTAGGCAAGCACTTTACCACTAAGCTACATTCCTAGCCTCTAGCATATAAACTTACAGAAGAAAAATAGTTCTGAAATAATTAATTTTTTCTCCATTTAATTTTTTATCATACTTATTAACACATTAATTGTACATATTAGTGAATTTCACTGTGACATTTCCATACATGCAAATATCGTACATTCATCATATCTACCTTCCCTATAATCCTTTTGTGCCTTTTCTTCTCCTCTAGTATCCTGTTCTCTTTCCTTTTCTCTTAAGGTCTCTCTTCTACTTTCAGGTTATTTTTTTTCCTTATGGTTTTCTGTATATGAAAAAACAATGTAATACTTAAACTTTATATCACTTAAGATTATACTTGGAGACATTAGGTGGATATAGCATTATCCTTCATCTTATATATGGCTGACATCCTGTTAAAAGGGACAAAGCATTGTTACATTTTCAGAAGTTTCACAGAGAAAGCTTGATTATAAACTTCATGGAGATTAAACAGTGATTTCCAAATAGTATTGGGTAGTGATATCAACTAATGTTTAGAAATAACTAAAGCCAAAAGGGAATGAATGGCTCAAGTGCTTTTCTAAGCAATCATGAGGCCTAGTACCATTAAAAAACAAACAACCCAAAACCCAAAGACAGAACCCCAGAAACATTATAAACTACCTAAAGGAAATGTAAGAAGTTTTCAGATACTATTAGAGGATGTACTCATTCTTTAGATGACTGAAATGATTTACTAGAAAATAAGTATATTGGTACTTTTTAAATTGTGAAAATACCATACAGAGGGGTTACAATTATATGGGCAAGGTAATGAGTACATTTCTTTTTTTGATTTTTTGGGTCCGATCGTGGGGCCTGAACTCTGGGCCTGGGCGCTGTCCCTCAGCTCTTCAGCTCAAGGCTTGCACTCTACCACTTGAGCCACAGCGCCACTTCCGGCTTTTTTCTTTTTTCTTATGTGGTACTGAGGAATCAAACCCAGGGCCTCTGGCATGCAAGGCAAGCGCTCTACCACTGAGCCACCTTCCCAGCCCATGAGTACATTTCTTATCAAGCATTGTTACCTCCTCCTTTGTTTCCCCTTCCCATCCCTTCCCATCTCCCCCCAAAGTTGTGAAGTTTGTTTTTCGACATAACGACTTGTACATCTCGTTTTTGCAATGGGTCCAACTGTATCTCTATTTGGTACTTTTGAATTAGGTGAGTGTTTTGACTTCTTTTTTGGTGGCAGTACCATAACTTGAACTGAGAGGGCCTTATGTTCTCAGCTTGGAGGTGAAATCCCACAGACTTTTCTCTCCTGGCTAGCTTAGTTCTTGATCCTTTAAGTCTCAGCCTCCTGAGTAGTTAGGATTGCAGGTGTAAACCACTTGCACTTGGTTCTTGGACTTTTGACATAAGAATTTAAAGCTAAATTGAGCAAATTAGAGCTTTGAAAACTGCACTTACCATTAAATTTCAAGCGTGCTTTGCATGTTTAATTTCTTTTGCTTTATAAAACCTCCAGTGATTATGATTTTTTTGAACCTAAATTGCAGTGTTGGTAGATGAACCCCTTATTCATGCAACTACTTATATTCCTTTGATGGATAATACTAACTCAAATCTTGTGATGGATAAGAGAGAAGTTACTGATCTGATTAAACCTGACCAAGTGGAAGGGATCCAGAAATCTGGGGCTAAAAAACTGAAGATTGAAACTGACAAAGGTAATATATACAATGTCATATTCTGTTAAATTATAAAATGCCATTTTTGAGTTTCATGGGGTTCAGAATGTTTTCTTATTGTATCAGTGAATTGGAAAAGACTTAATAGAATCCTTACAGAATCTTGCCAAAAGACTTATAGGTAGTCTTACAGTCTACTCTTCTCAATTTGTAGACCTGGACATTGGAATTTGATTTGCTTTAGGTCCTACAACTGTTTTGCTTTCTGGTTATCTTTTACTTCCTGCCATTATCTCCTGTGTGATACAAACTCTTCCCCTCCCCCCCCCCCCCCCCCCCATTTTTTTTTTTTGTCAGTTGTGGGACTTGAACTCACTGCCTGGGCACTGTCCCTGAGCTCTTTTTGCTCAAGATTAGTGCCCCAACACTTTGAGCCACAGTGCTACTTCTGGTTTTCTGGTGGTTAATTGGAAATAAGAGTCAATGATTTTCCTGCCAGGGCTGGCTTTGAATCAGGATCCTCAGATTTCAGCCTCCTGAATAGCTTTACAGCCCTGAACCACTGGTGCTTGGCTTTTACCCTTGAACTTTTAAAATAGGAAAATTTTAAGAGCAGTTTTAGGTTTACAGTAAAGTTGTATGGAAAGTACAGAGTTTTCCCATGTGCCTTCTTAACCTCATGAATACACACAGCTGCCTTTTAAAATTTATATAACTGAAGTGATAAGAGAAGTAGGCTCCTTTGGGTTGGATAGGTTGCAGTTCTACATCAAGAAGGTGAGGTTAGTGCCTGTTAGAGAGAGCCCTGAGAAATAGGAATGGGTGACTTCTGAATGTTTTTCATGAATACAGACTTTTAGTGTTAGGATTGCTTGTAAATACTTGCTCTTCATAGGATCAGATTTCATTATCTTAGAGATTAATTTATTCAACTGTGGGATTTAGTTTATATCTGTGGGATTTAGTTTATCTCTTGGGATTATTAAATTTAAATGAGGATATTGTGAGTACATTTGATACATAGAGTAGCACATACTGGCATTTTAGCATTCTGCAGTTTGTGCAAACTTTTACTTGGTGTAATTATTCTGTAGTACAGATGATAAACACATTTTCCTCCTTCTTGACTAGAGCATTCATTGTTATTTGACCTGAAATGTAAGTCCATTTTTTCTTGGTTGTTAACTTCTGGTTCAGGAATTCTTGATTTTTATTTTTACGGAAGTTATTTCTTATGCCTCTAAATACCAATTTTTTTCTTTAATTAAGAAAATGCTGAAGTAAAATTTAAAGATTTTCTTCTGTCCTTGAAGACTATGATGTTTTCCGAAGATGAGGCTCTTTGTGTTGTAGACTTGCTGAAAGAGAAGTCAGGTGTGATACAAGATGCTTTAAAGAAGGTAAGCTTATTTGATTTTGGTGAACAGTTTAGAAGTCCTTCAAATAAGACTTCAGCCAGAGGAACTTTGTTATTGTCTATTCCTGTCTTTAATATCCTGAACCATAGTCATGCCTAAAAGTTCTGGAGTGCTTTCAGAAATGGTTTTATGTAGTTATACTAATTTTTGTGCTTTAATTTAGCTAAGTATCTTTTGTCATGTATCGAGTCATGTAATGTTTTGACAAGAGCCAATTGCTTAAAAATAAATACGATTTTTGTGGTCTTGAAGTTATTTGGCACTTGGCTAAACTGTACTATGCTTTGACTAGAATTGTTAAAGTCAAGATCAAGTAATTGCTGTATAGTATATATGGAATACTTTTATGATTGAAGATAGCACATTCAGAAATCTTGAGCTCTTTGTTCAGAGTGTGTATATGTTTAAAATGTCTATATTTCCCTTCAAAAGTAAGTGATTTGCATGGCAGAAGCATTGCTGTGGTAGATTTAAAAAAATATATAAAATAAACTCTAAAACAAGAAAACTTCATGGATTTAACATTGTTCTTATGGAGTTCACTATATCATCAGGTATACTTTGTCATGGTGGAAAGGTTACTTATGTAAGCTAACATGGTGCTGGTATTCAATATTAGGTGGTTGACTTAACTTCTTATTCTAAAGCTTGGTGTGTGTATATGCACACCCTACCTGCATCCTTATCTGCTTTAAATAGAATCTTACGTAGTTAAGCATCAATGTAGGTCTTGCTTGTAATTTCAGCTGCTAAGGAGGCTGAGATCCAGAGCTTTGGGGTTTGAAGACAGTCTGGGCAGAAATAACCAAAATAACCAGCAGAATGCCAGGCTGGAGCTGTGACTCAGTGGTAGTGCAGTAGCCTAGTGAGTGCAAAGCCTGGATTTCAAGCTCTGACATTAACACCCCAAAATTTTTAGAGTGGTTTAATTTTTTCTTCAAATGAAAACCATTCTACCTTTTCACTTATCTAACTACTCTCAACAGTAAGAACATTTCTTTGGTTAATAAAGTGTTTATTACTTATTATATTTTCTCACTGTATAAACATAAAAGGAGCCATTTCTTTTGATGTTCAGCTATAATTTTCTGTAATATAATTCTTATACAATGTAATTTTCTGATCCCTTTATCAGTTTTCTCTTAGATGTAGCATGTCTTTCTAGTCTTTAGTTTCAAGCCAATATTTTTTATTGAGAACTTTTCTTTTTTTTTTGGGTCCGGTTGTGGGGCCTGAACTCTGGGCCTGGGCATGAGTCACAGCGCCACTTCCGGCTTTTTTTTCTTTTTGTTTATGTGGTGCTGAGGAATCGAACTTAGGGCCTCATGCATGCAAGGCAAGCGCTCTACCACTGAGCCACCTTCCCAGCCCCTACTGAGAACTTTTCTATGTCATTGAAATAACGGGAATAATCTTTATTAAGCACTTGTCTTTTCTTTGTCTCTCTTAGCTTTCCTGTCTTAGTCCTTTAAAAAAAATTGAACAAAATAACCAAAAAAACCTTAATATTTTATTTTTTATCTACTATCTACCCTTGAGAGAAAAAGACCCTAGCCCTTCCTTTTTATAGCAGTGTGTTCTTTTCTGTTTGCTACCTGTAAGAAGGCAAATACTGGGATGCTGTTACTTTTACTTTGAGATTTATTAGCTTACGTTTAACCTCATTATGTGGTCTTACTCTCTGAAGTTTTGTTTGTGATTTTTTTCTCTTTTCTAGAAATAACTACTATATTAGATCTGTAAAGATTGTGATGACATTTTTATTACAGTTTTTGTTCTTTAACAACTTTTTTTCTGCTAATTTTTTTCACTTACCATTTGTATTTTTCCTACAACTTTCCTTTTTAAAGTAGGCTGTGTAGACACATTGTTATATTGCTCTGTCTAATTGTCAGTCTCTCTCTCTCTTGAATGTTTGTCTGTCCATTTGTCCACCCACCCACCCACCCACCCACCCACCCACCCACCCATCCATCCATCCATCCATCCATCCATCCATCCATCCATCCATCCATCCATCCATCCATCATCCATCCATCTTGCCTGCCTGCCTGCCTGCCTGCCTTCCTATTTTGCCTATCTTGTCTATCCTGTCTATCCATCTTGGTCCTGGGGCTTGAAGTCAGAGTCTGAGTCTGTCTCTGAGATTTTTTGCTAGTATCTTACCACTTGAACTACACCTTAACTGCTAGCTTTTTGGTGGTTAATTGGAAATAATTTTATGGACTTTACCTGTCAGGCTGGCTTTGAACTGTGATCCTCAAATCTCAACCTCCTGAGTACCAGCATTACAGACACCATGAGCAACTAGTGCCTTGCTTACTTTACTTTTTCATTTTATTTTACTTATTTTAAATTTATTTCACAAATACTTCTCCCCTAAGAAGAGCATTCTCTTAGGTCATCTCTATGCTTAAAGGTGATAATAGTGAAGGACTAAGGCAGGCTGATATTCTGAAATAATCCTTTGGCCAAGTTAAAGTCTTCCAGATAAAGACTTGTGGCCTTAGTAGAGAAAAGTCTCTTTTCATTCATTCTGCTTCATCGTTAGTGCTCTCTGAGCAAAGTTTATGTGTTTTTTTTTTCTTCCTTCATTCTTCCTCCTTGAGGCTTTCATTGATTTTTTTCTTCTGTGAAATGCTTGTTAACTTTAGAGAACTACATACCCATGGCATCTCTGCAGCAATAGGCATGCTCTGACAGCATTGTTAAGCACCTGGGAGGGTTTGGTCTTTACTTCTATGTTAGTATTGTGTTGTGATTATAAATACATGATTGTTTCATTGGAGGTAGGTTATGTTTTGGTTTCATATTTCTTTTAGTCTTCTAGAAGGAAAAGAAGGGATATTGCTAATTTTGACTTTATGCTTAAAACGAGAAGTCCTATAATTCTTTGTAAAATGTGTGTGTATGTTTTTTTTTTTTTTAATTTTTCTTTTGTCTGTTGTGGAGCCTGAACTCTGGGCCTGGGCACTTTCCCTCAGCTCTTCAGCTCAAGGCTAGTGTTCTACCACTTTGAGCAACAGCACTACTTCGGCTTTTTTTTTTTTCCTGCTTATGAGGTGCTGAGGAATGGAACCCAGGGCCTCATGCATGCAAAGCAAGCTATACCACTGAGCCACCTTCCCAACCCTATAAAACGTGTTTCTTGATATGTAATTCTAATTGATTGGTTATGTTAGATAAACATTATAATGATTTTCCTAAATTTTGCAGTTTAGGCAGTCACTTTACTTTGTATGCTGTACATTGACCTCTACATGGACCCAAAAACTTGATATTAGATTATTTCATTTATAGTTTTCATTAGCCATATCAACTAATACTGATCTGAATTGATGTCTCATTGTAGTCAAGTAAAGGAGAATTGACTGCACTTCTGCATCAGCTTCAGGAAAAGGACAAATTGCTTGCTGCTCTAAAGGAAGATGGTGCTGCAGCAAAGGATCGCTGTAAACAGTTAACCCAGGTGAAGACATTCTTAGGTTCAATGGATATAGTTCCTAAATCAAAACAATGAAAGGATAAACATTGCCCCTTTTCCCTGATTTCATTATTTGTATAATAAATTTATACCAAAAAATAACTTTTTTCAGAATTTTTATAGTAAAGTTTCTTACTCAAGACATAACCTATGTTATAGCTGAATTATTAATTTAAAATAACAGTACTTAACTAGATATCTTAATCTTATGCTATCATTCTGTTGAGAGGCCTGGGAATTTATTTTATTCATTTATTTATTTATTTTGTCGGTCGTGGGGCTTGAACTCTGGGCCTGGGCACTTATCTCTGAGCTCTTCAGCTCAAGGTGAGTGCTCTACTACTTGAGCCACAGCGCCACATCTGGTTTTCTAGTGGTTTATTGTAGATAAGAGTCTCATGGACTTTCCTGCCTGGGCTGGCTTTGAACTGTGCTCCTCAGATCTCAGCCTCCTGAGTAGCTAGGATTACAGGCGTGAGCTACTGCGCCCAGCGGAAGTTTATTTGAAAATAGTTAGACCTACATCTATTCTCTGTATAAGAACAAAACTTGATTGTAATCTTAAGTTCAATTTATGGGGTAAATGAAAAGCATTCATAGAAGTCACTTATTTATAAACAGTATGTTTACAATTTTTATCAACTTCAAACCCCATTAATTTTAGTTTAGAAGGGGAAGAAACTACAAAACAGCAACAAAAAGCAAAACAAACTTAAAAAATTATGTAGAATAAAAGAAAATAATTCAAACTAAAAATAATTTGATTTTCTTCCTCAAGTGTTTATTATTTCTCCATTTAAGAATTAAATATAGTGGGGAAATGAGTTTGATTTATCCACCTACCTAGTTACTTGATGTATCTAGAGAATGAATAGGCTTTGCTTAAATATAAACCCTTTATGTTATTTTCAAGTGAATGTGAAATCAATGCAAGTACCCTTTTAGATATGATAAGTCTGCTTCCTTACGGTTACTTAGTTTTATGTGACAATTGCTTGTAGACTGTTTAAAAATAAGTTAGCTATTTTTTGATAACTTGTACTTAAGATGTGTATATTTCTTAGTTACATTGTGTATCAGTGTAACAACTTGCAAATACAAATAAAAAATTTAAGGGTATAAACTAACTTAGAAGCAATCATAAATGACAAAATTGTTTTGTCAATTAGTTTCTTAGAGCAGGGACATGGACTAATTAGTCATATCTACAGATGACAAATTGGTTGGCTTTGATGTACTGTGGTAATATTCTAGGAGTTGATAACACTTGAAAAAGAAAGTGAAAACCCTTTTAGTATTTGAGTTGGGAAGATGACAAAGATTTGACTTCTGACTTTTACCCAAACTTTTGTTTTAATACAGATATAATCTAATCTCGTCTAAGGGAAGAGATTAAGCTTTTTTCCCTCTGTACTAAGACCTGTTTTTTTCTTTTTTTTCTAGGCCTTTTTTAGTATCCTCAGAAATAACAGGTCCTTGAAAATAATAACTAACTTTTGAAGTATGTTTTTAGTAATCAAGTTACACTACAGGATTTATCCTAGGCTCTCAGTGTTTTAATTTTTAAACCAAAAAGTTCATTTTCTAAAGCACTTGGTGGCAAAATGCTTATAAAATGGTCTGAACTTAGGTAAGAGGTAGAGTTAGTTTTTTTTTGTCTTTTTTTCCTTTGAATTTTTTGATTTTGCTTTTTGAACATCTTTTTAGCATTCAGGATAATTTTACTCATTTTTTTTGGGGGGGGGGTAGGTTACAGGCCTATAGTACATTTCAAGTAAGTTCTTTATAGTTTTTTTTTTGAATCTTCCCCTCCTCCTCATGTTTTACTCTTTCAGGAGCTGATGACAGAGAAAGAAAGAAGCAATGTGGTTATGGCAAGGATGAAAGATCGGATTGGAACATTAGAAAAGGAACATAATGTATTTCAAAACAAGATGCATGTCAGTTATCAAGAGACTCAACAGATACAGATGAAGGTATATTTTTGTTCTTTAGATATGTGATAAAATGAATGCATTTAGCTAATTAGCAGACTTCAAAGTATCTTATACATACAAGGCATTATGCTGGACCATTGGCATAGAATAGCTAGTCAAATTCACTCCTCATTCTTAGGTAAATTTTCTGGTTAGGGATTAGAGGTAGGGAGGCTGGAAGTAGATAAAGAAATAGACTATGAAAATAGATCCAGCATTATGTACCAAGGAGCAGTGGAGATATTAGGAAGTAGATAGAATGTGTTGATTTTTTTTTTTAAATCAGGCATTGTAAAGTGTGAATGAGAAAAGGGTATGTATATAAGTGCTACTTGGTGTGATTCTTTAGTTCTATACCTAGAGATAATGACTTATATGTCTCTTATATGACCCAGGATTATGTTTCCACTGTGCAAAAATGAATAAGAGTTCTGGGAATTGGGAGCCAGGATAGAAATGAAGAAGAGAAAGATGTAGAGAAGCATGTAGGGTCCTATCTAAGGACCTTGTCTGAAGACTTGGCAGACAATAAAAGAGTTAAAGCAAGCCAGCAGTAATTATTATTATATTTAATTTTCACTCTGGTAACAATGTGTAGAGTCAAACAAGGGGTAGTTTGAAGGGTTTTGGAGGAATTCAAGTCAGAGAAAACAAGGAGGCCAGGTGCCTGTGGCTCATGCCTGTAATCTTAGGTCCCAAGTTCAAGTCCCATGACTGACAAAAAAAGAACACATAAGGAACAAAAATCAGATGTTGAAAATGAAGGAATACGTTTGAGTAAAAATAATAGAGTTGAGTAGATGGGGCTTGGTGTTAAGAACGGAGGGGAAAAATTGGAGCAGAGAGGGGATAATAGTGTATAATGATTCTTGAGTTTTGACTTACCTTTTGTCTCTTGTTATACTCTTGTTATACCTATCTTCTGTTAACATTTCTAGAGAGTCAGTTCTTACTGTTTGTCTTTTCCATGTGTCATGAGTTTTCATGATTCTGCTTAGGTCTAGACTAGTGAATTCTGCCTCTCTTTCTCTCCTGCTCTGCCTGGTTCCATGTTCTGAAGAACATGGATTCAGTCTCCTTGCCAAGTGAGCTAATAATACTACCCTTAGTTGAATTCTCTGGGTCAGTGACACTTTGAAATTGTTACTTTCATTTGCTGGCTAATACTTCAATTTGGAAGGTCTGTCATTATGTCAGATTTAACATGTCTAAAGCTAAATTCTTGCCTGTTGATCAACATTATTTTCCTTATGCTTGAATCTTTTGCTTTTTCTTTCTCAGTCTGAAAATTGGTCTGAATCTTAAAGATTCAGATTGCACTTGGTTGTTAAGTATCTTTATTTCATAGTAGGATAATTATAGCCCCTTATTAATACTTTGCTCTTTTCCATTCTAACTGTAACTGATACTAGATAATTTTTTATGACATTACTTTGATTATATTGCCAGTCTGCCAAACTTTATAAAATTATTCCTTACTGCTGAGTTCGAGTATTTTTCATGGAAATGTTACTGATAACAAAAAAGAAGTGAATGAAACTGTTGTCAGGTTGTTACTCTGTCCATAGGTTCTAGCTTTCATTTGGCCCACTCTGCAATCTTGTCATTCTCCAGCCATTTGCTATATTCTTTTATCAATCAGGTTATTGAATAACTGATTTAAAGTGATCTTTTCTTAATTCCTATTTATTGTTTATTTGAAATACAATCAAGTACTTGTAGCAGCATCTCTTTTTGAAGGTGATGATACCGAAATGATCCAACATTCTTTTACCTAATTACTTATGGAGATCAGGATATAGATTCCATATAAATTCTCTGAAAAATAAGGGCTGGGAATGTAGCTTAGTGGTAGAGTGCTTTACTTAGTATGCATGAAGTCCTGGGTTTGATTCCTCAGTACCACACACACAGTAAAATCTGGAAGTGGTGCTGTGGCTCAAGTGTTAGAATGCTAGCCTTGAGCAAAAGCTCAGAGACAGTTCCTAGGCCCTGAGTTCAAGCCCCAAGATGGGGGATGGGGGTAAGAAAAAAAACATATCATTTTCAATTAATTTGAATTACTAATAAAGTTATCAACACTTAATTTCCCTAAAAAGTAATTTTTTTTTTTTTGGTTGGTCATGGGGCTTGAACTCTGGGCTGAGTGCTGTCCCTGCGCTCTTCAGCTCAAGGCGAGTGCTCTACTGCTTGAGCCACAGCGCCACTTCTGGTTTTCTAGTGGTTTATTGGAGATAAGAGTCTCATGGACTTTCCTGCCCGGGCCCGGCTTTGAACTGTGATCCTCAGATCTCAGCCTCCTGAGTAGCTAGGATTACAGGCGTGAGCCACCAAATAATTTTGCATAATAAAGTAATATGTCTTTGTCAATGTAAGATACAGTATTCTTCACTTCTGATCTGTTATTCTGAAATTAAAAAAATTAAAATCTAGAAGAAAGTTACATTGGTAGTTGCAGGGGCTAGAGAGAAGGTTGAATGAAGATTATTGGTTAATAGACATAGATTATAGTTTTAAAAGAATTAGAGAAGCAAATGGTAGTGATGACTGTAAAATAGTAAAGATATGTTTAAACCTGTTAGACCTTTTATCTGTTATGATGGCAGTGATGTAGCTTATCAGTAGTGTTGGCCTAGGATGTTCAAGGGTCTGAGTCAGATTTCAAGCAGTCCCACCATAAAAAAGACTAATATGCTGGGTTCCAGTGGTTCATGACTGTAATCTCAGAAGACTGAGATGAGGTTCAAAGCCAGCCCTGGCAGGAAACTATGTGAGACTCTGATCTCCAATTAAATCACAGAAAAAGCCAGAAGTGGCACTGTGCCCAAATTGTAGAGTGCTAGCTAGCCTTGAGCAAAAAAAGGAACACAGGGATAGCACCCAGGCTCAGAGTTCAAGCCTCAGGACCAGGAAAAGAAAAGATTAATATGTTAGTCTTTTTTTTTTGTTGTTTTTGTTGGTCATGGGGCTTGAACGCTGGGTGCTGTCCCTGAGCTCTTCAGCTCAAGGCAAGTGCTCTACCACTTGAGCCACAGCGCCACTTCCAGTTTTCTGGTGGAGCTAAGAGTCTCATGGACTTTTCTGCTTGGGCTGGTTTTGAACTGGGATCCTCACATCTCAGCCTCCTATGTAGGTAGGGTTACAGTCATGAGTTAGTCCATAGTATGTTTATATTTACTAGTAGTCAGGATATTTTTCAGGTAGGTTTTTGTATTATCTAATTATGTTTCAATTTGTTTCAATTTGTGACTTAATATAAGTGCATTTGAGTATATTTTCAGTTTTTAAACTTTAGGTAACTGAACTCTTTCATTTAAAAATATTGCTAATATCAAACTGACAGGCAGGTGTAACCCTATATTGAGTAAGCAAGACCTAAACAATCTTTTAATTCTGAAATTAGGTGTTTTATATTTCAAATAAAGCAATGGCTAGCCTTATTTTTGATTCTGTTGCAGCTTCTATTTACATTTATCAGTTTATACTATTAATAAAGTTCTTTAAATGTGTTTATATTTACTTGAAAAGAATAATTCTGATTTTATTCTACATTTTTTTTTACATTCTCATGATAGTAAAATTTCTTCTAAATAGGTAACTTTTGGGCCAGGTATAATGGTACATATCCTTTTTCCCAGCTCCTCATCAAACAGGGACAGATCTCTGTTGGAGGCTGTGGGAGTTGTGGGGAAGATAAGAGGCTGAATGTAGGAGTAGATTAATGATCATATCTTAAATAAGCTGGCAGGAAAGCTAGCACACCTGTATTTCTAGCTGCTCAGGAGGTGGAAATCATTGCCTGAGGCCAGCTTTGGCAAAAACAAACAAACATGAGACCTTACCTGAAAAATGCACTAAAAGCATAAAGACTAGGGACATGTTTCAAGAAGCACTGAGTTCAGTACTCAATACTGGGTGTTGGGGGAAAAGTAGCTTTGTCAGTTTTTCTTTTCTAAATCTTTTTTGTGTAAAATAGTTTCAACAAGTTCGAGAGCAGATGGAAGCAGAGATAGCTCACTTGAAGCAGGAAAATGGTATATTGAGAGATGCAGTCAGCAATACTACAAACCAGCTGGAAAGCAAGTATGTTTCTAAAATGTTACATTTTAAGTTAAATATAAAGTACTTTTTCTTTTAATTGTAAAGGTGATGTATAGAGGGGATATAGTTACATAAGTCAGGTGATGAATACATTTCTTTTTAGAGTATTTTCTTAAATTATATTTGATAGTAATTGTTTAGACTTCTGTTTCTTACATTTGCTTGTAAAATTGAGTTACTTTTATAAACAATTCTTTTTCACTGTGTGAAGGACTTTAGCTACATATCAACTACATATCATATATGTGTATATAATGAATGTGTATCTTTTTATGTATGTTATATACATATATATTTCTATTAGTGGAGCACTCTTAAAATTTATCAGGCTGAATTTAAAGTTTTAAACCATGTGTCCCCTATGACAGAATTCTCTAACTTCATTATTCTGAATAGCACCTGACTAATTTAAAAAGCTCTGTGGCTCTCAGGTGATGCTTAGGAGTCTACAAGTAAAGATACATTCCTATAGATTAGATAGGATATAGATGATTCTTTTTTTTTTTTAATTTAATTTAATTTTATTTGTGAACATACTGTACAGAGGGGTTACAATTACATGGGCAGGATAATGCATACATTTCTTACCAAGCATTGCAGCCTCCTCCTTTGGAGGATATAGATGATTCTTGAGCCACTTGAGAAAAATTATATTTAAAGCTGAGTGCCAGTGGCCCATGCCACTGCCCTAGCTTACTCAGGATGCTGAGATCTGAGGATCTTGGTTTGAAGCCATCTAAGGTGGAAAAGTCCATGAGATTTTTATCTTTAATTAAGCCACCCAAAAAGCTGAAAGTGGAGTTGCGGTTCAGGTGGTAAAGTGGTAGCCTTCAGGTTCTGAGAACTGGTGTATGTACACACACACAGACACACACACACACACGGCACACACGTCAGTTTATGAGTACAATACATTTTGATCAGTGTCATTTCTTTTATCTTTCACCCCTTCCTTTGATGTCCCTAATCTCTCCCAGCCCCACCAAGAAATAATAATTTGTAGAAACTCATAGTCTAATAATACAGAGAAATAAGTACTCCACCTTACTTAATATTTTTTATTTTTTAATAACATGAACATTTATTTTATTAGAGTTAAAAAATGTTCTTTCTCTGGGTAACCAGAATAGTCCAGTTGCAATGAATTGGTTGAGTTTAATAAGTATCTAGAAGAGAACTTTAAGAATGACATTGTCTAGTTATCCTTATGAGTTTTTAATCATCTATTTTACTTGATATTTTATATTTTTAGAAATGATATAATTATCATTAAAATTATTTAAGGGGCTGGGAAGGTGGCTCAGTGGTAGAGCACTTGCCTTGCATGCCTGAGACCCTGGGTTCGATTCCTCAGCCCCACATAAGCAAAAAGAAAAAAGCCGGAAGTGGCGCTGTGGCTCAAGTGGTAGAGCGCTAGCCTTGAGCTGAAGAGCTGAGGGACAGCGCCCAGGCCCAGAGTTCAGGCCCCACGACCGGACCCAAAAAAAAAAAAAAAATTATTTAAGAATTTCACCTACCCCAACTTGATTATTAATGATCAGTTGTGTTCCTTTTCATTTTGCCATCAGGATTACCAGTTCAGCAAAACTAACATAAAATATATTGTATTTATTATTATGTATATGTGTAATAATGAAAGGTTCCTAATGTAGTTATTGTTTTCAGGCAGTCTGCAGAACTAAATAAACTACGCCAGGATTATGCTAGGTTGGTAAATGAGCTGACTGAGAAAACAGGAAAGCTACAGCAAGAGGAAGTTCAAAAGAAGAATGCTGAGCAAGCGGTCACCCAGTTGAAGGTAATATATTTCCATTTTTATTACTTTTTGAGTAATAGAGATATTTTACTTGGTAACCTAAATGTGTGTTTAAATTTGAGAAACACAATTTGAGGTTGAATAAGACACATAATTTAAGTGCTCTGGCTATACAGAAATGTCTTGATGAAAGAATTGAATGAATATAAACTTGAATTTGAAACTAAAGACTGAAGATAGGGAAAATATAGTTAGCTGATTGACTAGCATAAGTAAGTAGTGGAATTTAATTTCACTTTTGAGGGTATATAAGGCCTACATGTTTAGGAAATGTCATGTGGCTAAAATTACCTTTTTTTTATTGTAAAGATACTATACAGAGGGTTACAGTTACATGAAATAAATGAGTAAGGTAATAAGTATACTTCCTATTGAGCATTGTTACCCCCCTCCATTGTTTCCCCCCTACTATCCCTTCCCTCCCTACCTTCCCTGAGGTTCTTTTTTTTTTTTTAATTGTGATTAAGTGATTACATAATTTCCCAAATTCCACAGTATTGTGGAACAATGATGCTCATTTAAAGTCATAAGCTCATTCTAACTTTGCTGGTGCAAATTGTCTATCATGGTCTATAACATATAACGGTGTACCACATATACACCATACATGTGATCAGCAGCATGGGGATATTTAGTAGTGGTTCGACCATATGAGTGGAAGTTCTTTGCTTCTTAAGTCCTATTAATTTTGTCGTATCACCTAACATTTTGGATTTAACATCTACTCTTCAGGGAGACCATGTACTGTTTGTCTTTTTGATCTTGGCTTACCTCACTCAACATGATTTCTTCTAGCTCCATCCATTTCCCTGCAAATGCCATTATTTTGTCATTTCTAATGGCTGCATAATATTCCATTGTGTATAGATACCACAATTTTTGGATCCATTCATCTGTGGTGGGGCATCTGGGTTGTTTCCATATCCTAGCTATTGTGAACAGTGCTGCAATAAACATGGAGGTGCATGTGTCCTTGTATATTGGTTCCTGTTGTTCAGGGTAGATGCCTAGAACTAAAATTACCTTTTAAACATCCTTTTCTTCATTTGCAACTTGAAAATCTCAATATTTTTCTTAGCACATTGGATTAGTTTTCCCTTTAATTGAAAATAAGAACAAATACTGCTGCAGTGGCTTGCATTTGAGCCACAATAAACAAAAATATTACATACTGTATTTTCAGACACTAGAATGGTACTTGATAGAATGAGATGTTCATACTGTGAAGAGATGCATGCATGCAGGAACTTTCTCAGGCTTATTGAAAGAGGAGCAGATTGATTTCTCTTATATGTACTTGAGAGCCTTATGCATTTTCTTTTCTTTTCCCTTCCTTCTTTCCTTCCTTCCTTCCTTCCTTCCTTCCTTCCTTCCTTCCTTCCTTCCTTCCTTCCTTCCTTCCTTCCTTCCTTCCTTCCTTCCTTCCTTCCTTCCTCCCTCCCTCCCTCCCTCCTTCCCTCCTTCCCTTCCTTCTTTCCTTTCTTTGTCCCTCCCTCCCCCTCCCACCTCTCCCTCTCCTCCTCCCTCCTCTTCTCCCCCCATTTTTTTTCCCCCTCCCTCTCCTCTCTTCTCTTTGGTGCTGGTTCTAGGGCTTGAACTCAGGGACTGGGGCACTGTCTGTGATCTTTATTGCTCAAGGCAACTTGAGCCACAGCTGCACTTCTGGCTGGCAGATTATGAACATTATGTTTTATTAAAATGTAGAAGATAAATTGTTGTAAATGATACAAGTAGAAAATGCCTTGTTGAAGTCTTGTATTGGTGAGGATTTATCCTTCTCTCATTTTAAATATCAAGGTTCAATTACAAGAAGCTGAGAGGAGATGGGATGAAGTTCAAAGCTACATTAGGAAACGAACAGCAGAGCATGAGGCAGCACAGCAAGGTAAGGTACAAGACATTAATGTCAACTATGCATGCAATGTTTTATCCATCTGTGAGGAAGAGTATATTTGGCATTTTGGTTTCTTCTAGCTCAGTAAAAAATAGCTTTTAAAATCTACTAGTTTAGCCTAAAACATCAAGTTGTAGGCAAAATTTCAGAACACATTAGGGAAATAGAAGACTGTTTAAAAGCTATTAAAACCTATTAAAAAATTTTTTTGGAAGTGGCACTGTGACTCAAGTGGTAGCGTGCTTGCCTCAAGCTGAAGAGCTGAGGAACAATGCATTGGCCCAGAGTTCAAGCCCCATGACTGACAGAAAAAGTTTTTTTTTTTTTCCTGTAGTTTCCTCCTTTGGCTTCCTTGATTTAACTCTTCTTTTCACTTTTTGTTTCTAAGAAAAGATTCATAAGCTGGGCATTGGTGGCTCACACCTGCAATTCTAGCTACTCAGGAGGCTTAGATCCTGAGCATCATGGTTCAAAGCCAGCCTGAGCAGGAAATGTCATGAGATTCTAATCTCCAGTAACCACCAGAAAACTGGAAGTGGTGCTATGGCTCAAAGTGGTAGAGTGGTGGCTTTGAGTAAAAGAGCTCAAGGACAGTGCCTAGGTCTTGAGTTATGAGGAGAATAGTAATGAGAAGATTACCTCAAGCAGTTTTATTGAGCTATTTAAAAAACCTTAACTTCTACTCTTTACTATTCATAATTTGAAGGACCCATCTTGGAGATAATGGAGCTTGTGTTCTATATGTTATTTATGTCTCCACTATTCTCTTTCTTCCATAAAAGAGGGAGTTCCAAATAATTAGATAGAATTTTTGTCTCATTAGACTTTTGATTTTGTCTGAATCCTCTCTCTCTAGAATAACTATCTTCTTAATGTTTAAGTGTACAGAAGATTTGTAAAGGCCCATTTCTCTTTTTTTGTTCTAGTCCCGGGGCTTGAACTCAGGGATTATGCACTGTTCTTGAGCTCTTTGCTCAAGGCTAATGCCCTACCACTTGGCACAGTTCCACTTGCAGCTTTTCCTGGTTAATTGGAGATGAGACTCTCATCTCACAGATTTCTGCCCAGGCTGGCTTTGAATAGTGATCTTCAGATCTTAGCCTCTTGAGTAGCTAGGTGGTTTGAGCCACCTGTACCATGCCTTTTTTCTTTTTTTTTAGGCTAATATTTCATATTTTATGTCCCACCAGTGAAGCACAGAAATCTCACTAAAAGGATTAAAACTATAAGTGATATAACTGTAGAAAATAAAGTCACTTACTAGCTGTAACATTTCAAAATTTTCCCTTTTGGTTTTAGTGTTTTATCTTCCTTGTTTCTAAGCATACATGTCAGTACCTACGCTGGCCTTTCTTAATAGAAGTCTGATTATCTATTGGAGAAAATGAGGACTTACTTCCCACATCATTTCTCCTACCTGCCTGTTTGTCATTGGCCTGAATTGTTAATGTATGTTTTTTGATTGACAATATTGATTATACATTATGTATAGTAGAATGCTGAGCCAAGCTATATGTAAAACTGATTCTTTCCTTTACCAGCTGTTTATTTTCTGGACCTAATTATTGCTTTATTGCCTACTTAAAAGTTACTTTTATCTATGATTAAACTTCTCTTAACCTTTACACCCAGTCTAACCCACCCAACTCAGCCCATCTCTCATCCTTATGTTGTTCAACATATTAACTTTTAGAAACTCACAATTTTTTTCCTGGCTTATATTCTTTGTTCAGTCTTTAGTTTTCTTGTTCTATTTAGTACTTAGGTTGGCTCCATAGTTGTCTTCTCTTGAGATTACTTTTGTCTTTCTATCTTTTTTTCTGGATCTTTTGTTATACTTGTCTTTCTTGTTTTTCTCCTTCATTTAGTAAAGTACTTTTTTTTTTTTTTTTTGTAGAGGCCCCACATAACTAAAAACATTTTTATTCTCCTTTCAAGATGTAGCTGGTATATTGACTGGATGTTAAGTCTTAAGTTGAAAATAATTTTCTCTACAAAATTTTGAAGGCATTACTTCCATTTTTTAACTTTTATTCTTAGTAGTTTGAAATTATGTTCTCAGTTCTGTGTTCTGCCTTCTATCCTAAATATGACCACTATGTGTTTAAGTTTTAAGTTACATTTAAGTTTAGTTTTGTTCCTTTTGTTTTTCTTCAAAAATAGACATAGAATTGCATACATATATCTTTTTATCCATGGTTGTAGTAGTGGTTTCCCTAACACTCTGCTTTTTAACTTGTTGATGGTATGGGCCAGGGAAGCAGCTCTCCTAATATCTGGTATCTCCTGTCATTAGCCTTTCTTGGTTTTAGAGCTTTATAAATTTTTTTTTGGTAGTTGTTCCTCTACTCTACCAAGTTAGAGATTGTTTTAACATTTACTTTGTCTTTTGTGAAATGAAATAAAAGTAGTTCATATTTCTCATTTTCCTAGTTCTTTTATAGTTCTCTCTGTGAAATGACAGAAAAGTTATCTATCATTTTAAATCAGGACATTTGCCAGCCTTCAGACAATAGATTTCTTCAGGATTTTTCTTTGTAGCAAAATACAAGGCATTTTAAGGTATCCGAGTTCACAGAATTTAGAAGGCACTCATTGGAATAGTTTTATTAAAGTAACATTGAGTGGGGAGGGAAGGGGAATAATAAAATGCTGAAACAAGGACACAGGATGACCCATTGCAACAATGATATTCACAAGACACTATGTTGGAAATGAACTTTATACTGGCTGGGGTGAGGGGGCTGGGGGAAGAAACGGGGGAGGGAAGGGATAATAGGAGAAAAACAAAAGAGAGGGTAACAGTGCTCCACAAGAAATGTACTCATTACCTTATTGATATAACTATAACCCCTCTGTACAGCATCCTTACAAAAAAATTTTAAAAAAGTAACATTGGGGAAATAAAAAATAGGACTAGGATATGCTATAATAGGTTAAAAAAGTTTGTGCACCATTCACTATATGGTGTATGCCCACTTTTGAGTATAGTTGTGGATATACATAAAAGTGATCTCTGGGCTTAAGAAGCTTATGCTAGCAAAATACATGAATTAATACAATATGATATGATAAAAGCAAAAGGAAGTGGGGTAGACATGATAAAGTTTTCTAGAGGAGATGATTCCTAGAAAAGGAGTGAAGAGTCCTTTGTAAGATGTCATATTTTGCTGCAGATTTGCAGAGTAAATTTGTGGCCAAAGAAAATGAAGTGCAGAGTCTGCATAGCAAGCTTACAGATACCTTGGTATCAAAGCAACAGTTGGAGCAAAGACTAATGCAGCTAATGGAATCAGAGCAAAAAAGAGTGAACAAAGAAGAGTCTCTACAAATGCAAGTTCAGGTATCATTTTTTATGAAAGTAAAGATTAAATGTTAGGTATCTAGAAGCGAGAATAAGATATACTTTATTCCCAATTCTGGATTGATGGTAACACTTAATCTTACCCAGTATGTTGTTTTTAAAGATGTGGTTATCCACAATTTCAGACTCTTTGTAAGAACAGCAAAAATGTACCTTATAAATTAACTTAGAGTAAATGCTTAACCATTGTCTTTTTTTCCGCTTGAACTCAGGGCCTAATACTTGCTCTGCTGCTGAGCTACATCTTCAGACCTTTTATTGCCCTGGTTATTTTTGAGATATAGGGTCTTGTGTTCTGCCTGGATACATGTCTAGACAACAGTCTGCCTATTTATGCTTCTGGAGAAAGGGGCCCTAGGAACTTTTTTTGTCCTGGCTGACTTTAAACTGTGAAGTGTAAGCCATCGATACCCAACTTTAATCATTATGTTAAATAAAAAAAATCTAAAGATGCCTTAAATAAGCTGGTAAGTAATTTTTCTTATAGTCATTGGGATATTTATTAATAGCACACTCTTTCCCTTCTCTTTGGCTGTTATTTATAGGATATTTTGGAGCAGAATGAAGCTTTGAAAGCTCAAATTCAGCAATTCCATTCCCAGATAGCAGCTCAGGTAATGCCTTTTTAAAATTGCTTATTGTTAATGATGGCTTCTCAGCCATTTAAACAGTCATTTAACTGGCACTGGACTAGGCTAGTTATTGAGTCAATGAAAGATGATCCTGAGTTCCAAACATTGAGTATTAAAAGCATAATGCTATGGGAAAACTCAGAGAAACTCAACTTTAATTAATTGGAAAGGGAAGAGTATTATAGAGCTCTTATGATGTGAGGAAACTATGTCCACAAGCCTTTTATAAAATAAGAGGAATTGGGGCTGGGAAGGTAGCTCAGTGGTAGAGCGCTTGCCTTGCATGCATGAGGCCCTGGGTTCGATTCCTCAGCACCACATAAGCAGAAAAAACCGGAAGTGGCGCTGTGGCTGAAGTGGTAGAGCGCTAGCCTTGAGCTGAAGAGCTGAGGGACAGCGCCCAGGCCCAGAGTTCAGGCCCCACGACCGGACCCAAAAAAAATAAAAAATAAAATAAAATAAGAAGAATTAATCAAGTGGTATCTAGAACAATGGCTTATGTGTTAAAGGTATTCATAAAATACTGACTAACATGGGAAAAAACAAGCTCATGTACTACAGAGCTAGTAGTGAGTTAACTATAGTTTTCATTATATTTGCAAAAGAATCTGTTTCAAATTAGTGGTAAGCGCTCCAAAGTTAAAAAATGGTATTATTAAGACATTGTTCTTCAGCAACATTATTTATTGATAGAAAGACTTTACAATGCAAATGATCTAACATTAAGAAAAAAAGAATGAGGGCTGGGAAGGTGGCTCAGTGGTAGAGCGCTTGCCTTGCATGCCTAAGGCCCTGGGTTCAATCCCTCAGCACCACATAAGCAAAAAAAAAAAAAAGCCGGAAGTGGTGCTGTGGCTCAAGTGGTAGAGCGCTAGCCCTGAGCTGAAGAGCTGAGGGACAGCGTCCAGGTCCAGAGTTCAGGCCCCACGACCGGACCCAAAAAAAAAAAAAAAGAATGAGAACTTCCAAGTTCTTGATTCCATAATATACATACCATAAACTTTAATTTAACTTCTAAATTGTAAATGTTGCTTATAGCAAAAATACTAGATTAAAAGGTTGACTTTTCTGTGTGAAAGTGGTTTTAACATTAAAAACTTATTATTGGGATTCACACAAGTTCAAACTCAAAAGCTTTGAACATGTAAACATATTTTTCTAATTGCTTTATTTGTAGAGACAGTGGCCTAAAATGAGTTGAAAAGAACATTTAGGAAAAGGAGCAAGTTGTATATACATGTAAATTACCAACTCAAATTGGATCAAGATATTTAGTTATTTGAGAGGGAGCTGTAGAAAATATATCAGAAGTTACTTAGAGAATGCTATAAATAGCTTTCACAAAGGAAAAGGAAAGATGAGTCTGAGTATCACCATACTTAATTAGCTTAATTATGAAGTGGATTATAAGGAAAAGAAGCACAGGAATGCAAAATGACTGTTGTGGCTACTTTTTCCTATATATTTGTTGCTTATCAGCTGTTCTAGGCCTGGCGATTTGTTCTAAAAGTCTTGTGGTATATAATTCCCTAACACTGGTTGTTGGTGATCAAACTTAATTTCAGAGTGATAGTTATTCTGTATTAAACACTCATCATTGGCTAGATACTTCCTTAACAACTTTATATGTATTACTTTTTCTTAGTTTTTAAAGCTCTATTGTGATGATTATGTACAGTGTTTAAGCTTTCTCTCATCCTTTTATGTTAATGTTTTTATTTCTTAGACCTCTGCTTCAGTTCTAGCAGAAGAATTGCATAAAGTGTAAGCCTGCCTTTTCACACTTCTCTTAATAATTGTTTAGTCATCACTAACAGATACTTGTTAGATACAACACTTAAGATTAGCTTTGTACTTTAACCTATTTGATAAATACTCTGAATTAGATTTGTAGAACTTTTGCTTTTTAAAATTTCTCTTCTGTAGTATGTTGGGTCTGTAAACATTATGTCTATGTTTTGATAGCTTTCTCATTAAAAAAAATTGGGGAAATTTTGCTTTATTTGGAGTGTTGGCAATTATGTGGAAAAGGTAATTGTGTTTTGAGAGTAGTAGAAAAATTAGTTTCTGTTTCTGATGGGAGGTATATCTACTCTTTCTAGCTATGTATACTTAAAATTGTTTGTTCATTGTGCTAATATTAATTTTACATAGATTTGAATCATTTTAGTTGAGAAGATTTGAAATTTCTAGACTTGTGAGCTTATGTTAATTCACTTCTTTGTAAAAAAAAAAATTAAAAATTAAAAAAGTCACTTCTTTCACCTTCAGTTTTAAAATGAGGTGTATATACTTAAGGAGTTATGGTAATGCTTATGGTAATTATTAATAACATGAAAAGGGACTATAGAAATAGTCTATATTAGAACTACTTAAGTAAGGATGACTTTAAGGCTTTTAATTCTTTGATCTTTGATTTATGATATGATATTAGTTGGTTCATAAGTTTGTAAAATGTTTATAGAAAGCATCAATATGTTTCCTCTTAAAGGATTGCAGAAAAGGATAAGCAGATAAAACAGACTGAAGATTCTTTAGCAAATGAACATGATCACTTAACAAGTAAAGAGGAGGAGCTTAAGGTACAGTAATTCTTGTAAATAACTACAATATTTTATAGAACTCAGAATTGAATTATTCTGATTTCTAGTCAGTATGAGTTTATATGAAGAATTCTGGAACTCATTTGAAAAGTGTCCATATCTCTTCCAAATTATAAAATCTTTAGTGCTAAGGAAAAATTCAAAGAGCTTTAATCACATGGTATGATTCATATAATTTAGGAAATTGATGTTCCTCTTTCTGACTTAGGAAATTTGTAATTTGAGATGTTTGCTTAATTCTTACATAGAACAAGATGTTTTCTAAATTTTCAAGTCTATTAAAATTTTCTGTTTTTTTCTTACTCTAGAATATACAAAATATGAATTTTTTATTAAAAGCCGAAGTGCAGAAATTACAGGCCCTGACAAATGAACAGGTAGATTTTTACTGCTTTAGAGCATTTACCTCAGACTTTTAATTTGTTATTATTTTGATTGATGCTTGAGCCCTAGTTTTGTTTGTGAAATTAATAATGACAATGGTTACTTCTGTTTTTCTTTCTGTGGGATATGTTTCTGAAAGTAACTTCTGTTTCTGTTTCATGTAATGTTTGGTTCAATGAATTAATGTGAAATACCATGAATCCATTTTAAAAAAGAGTCTAGTGAACTAGCTTCTTTAGCTTTCTGCCAAGTTTTCTAAGAAGGACAAACCTTTTATTAGGATAAAAAGTGACTAAAATATTTGGCAGCAAAATACAGAATGTATGATATTGCTATAACTTGAAAATGCATGGAAATGTAATATATAAAAATAAGTGAGAGCATAGTTTTGAGCACTTACTTTGAGCTAATTTTTTTTGATGTTTCTTTTTTGAATTTTTAAAATTTTATTATCATTAAGTCCTTGTACAAAGAGGAGTTGCTATTTTATAAAGCAGTTTATAAATACAATGCATCTTAATCAGTATTACCCCTTTCAGTATTCTCCCATCCCTCTCAACCCACCTGAAATAAAATTCTTATTTTATTCCAAACACAGGCTGCAACTGCACATGAGTTGGAGAAGATTCAAAAAAGGTAACTAAACTATGATATATACAGGCACTCATATATTGATGTTCTAGTGTAATTTTGGTAGAAAGTACTATCCTATAACTGATAGTTGTATACTTAGCTTCCATGTAAACTTCTGAGTGTCTAAAGTAGTTTTAATTGGTATTTTTTTCTCATAGTATTCACATTAAAGATGATAAAATAAGATTGCTTGAAGAACAGCTACAATGTGAGATTTCAAACAAAATGGAAGAATTTAAGGTGTGTAACTGAACTTGTCTGCTTAGTGTTTCTAAGCAATACTATAAACTTTCATTTGTACTGAATCTAGAAATATTTTGTAACATGTTTCCAAGGTGAATATGGGAGTCTTAGATAAATAGTAAATTTTATCATAGCCTTCTTGCCTGTTCTGTAATAGACTTTCATAATTTAGTTTACTCGAACCATTTTTGTTTGTTTGTTTGTTTGTTTTGGGTCCGGTCGTGGGGCCTGAACTCTGGGCCTGGGCGCTGTCCCTCAGCTCTTCAGCTCAAGGCTAGCACTCCACCACTTGAGCCACAGCACCACTTCCGGCTTTTTTCTTTTTGCTTATGTGGTGCTGAGGAATCGAACCCAGGGCCTCAGGCATGCAAGGCAAGCACTCTACCACTGAGCCAACTTCCCAGCCTCGAACCATTTTTGACAGATTTTTCTTTGGCGACTTTTTTGTCTCCACTATTGAGCATCTGTTGCTGCAACAGGGAACATCCCAGTGTCCCAGTGTCCAGTGGGATTAAAGTTTGGTGTCAATGTGTTATTGGCCTGTCACATTATAAGTATGTAAATCTATTATCTCTCTTTCCTTAATAAAAATGGATTTTTCCCCCTTAGATTCTAAATGACCAAAACAAAACATTAAAATTAGAAGTACAGAAGCTACAGACTCTTGTTTCTGAGCAGGTAAGGCTTTTCATGAATTATAAGGTACAAATATCCATTATACACTAATACCTGGTATGCTCTGTCTCTTTCTATATCTCTGTGTTTCTGTCAGTCTGTCTCTGTCTCTTTCTCTGAGGTCTGAATTCAGGGACTTTTTAAGGAGACTCACCCACTGAGCCTTACCTCCAGGCATTTTTGCACTGTTTATTTTGAAAGGGCTCACTTTACAATTTTTTTTTTTTTTTTTTTAATTTCTTATTTTTTTTATTTTTTGGTCCAGTTGTGGAGCCTGAACTCTGGGCCTGTGCACTGTCCCTCAGCTCTTCTGCTCAAGGCTAGTGCCCTACCACTTGAGCCACAGCGCCACTTCCGGCTTTTTTTCTTTTTGCTTATGTGGTGCTGAGGAATCGAACCCAGGGCCTCATGCATGCAAGGCAAACGCTCTACCACTGAGCCACCTTCCCAGCCCCATCACTTTACAATTTTTGCCTGGGCCTGCAACTAGACCATGACCTTCTTGTTTTATACTTGCAGTGAAGCTAGGGTAACAGGTGCATGCCACCATGCCCAGCTTATTCCATTGCGAAATGGATGCTTGTGATGAACTGTTTTTTTTCTTGATTAATCAGAATTCTTCAGTCTCAGTCTCCCATGTAGCTGGGATGATAGTAATATACCACCATACCCTGGAATTGGTTGAAAAGTTGCCTCTTGAATCTTGACCTTGGAGCTCTATTCTCCTTCAGCCTCCCAGGTAGCTAGAATTAAAGATGTGTGTCACTATGACTGGCTGGTGCCTCTAAATTGACAACCAATTAAATAATTGAGAAGTACTCCTTCAGCTTAAATGTTTTTTTTTCCCCCTCCCTTCTTTTTTTCCCCTTTCCCTTTTCTCTTTTCCCTTTCCTTATTCTCCTGTTCCTTTTCCCCCTGTCCCTTTCTCCTTTCCCCTTCTTCCTCCTTGGCAATCTTGGGCCTTGAACTCAGGGCTTGGGTGCTGTCTCTGAGTTTTTTTGCTTAAGGCTAGTGTTCTACCAGCTCGCCACAGCTCCACTTCCAGCTTTTCTTTGATGGTTAATTTGAGATAAGAGTCTTATGAATTTTCTTGCCTGGGCTTGGTTCAAACTACAAACTCAGCCTTTTGAGTAGCTATGACTATAGGCATGAGCCATCAGCACCCAGCTTAAATGTCTTTTAATTGCATTTTTATTCATCTTGTGCTTATCACGCTTCTAAATTAAAAATGTCAGAAGTATTAAAAAATATAACAACAATTTATAGGTATGGAAGTCTTATATTTTTGGAGCCTCAATTTTTTTCATTCAGGCATCCAGCATTTATTTGTCAGTTGTGGGGCTTGAACTCAGTGCCTAAATGCTATTCCTGGGCTTTTCTACTCAAGGATAGGGCTCTACCACTTTGAGCCACAGTGCCATTTCCAGTTTTCTGGTGGTTAATTGAAGATGAGAATCTCATGCCCATGCTGGCTTTGAACCACTATCCTCAGATCTTAGCCTCTGAGTAGCTAGGATTACAGACATGAGCTGTTGGTGCCAGCATGGTTTCTTAAAAAGAAATTGGAAAAAAAAAAAAAAAGAAATTGGGTTTGAAACTTAGTACCAATGCTTAAAAGCAGAATAATGTTGATCAAATTGTTTGGCATTCCAGGTCTGATATCAAGCTTTTATCCTAAGTTTCTTAGATTTAAAGAAGGGAAGATTGCTTAGTTTAGTGCTTTGCATGCAGAATGCTTCTAGTCCTCCACCTTTTATAATTTTTTCCTATCATTCCTATCCACTTATATACTCGTCTATGTTTATAGCAAGAAGTTTAAACTGTAGCACTTTTTTTTGGTGGTGCTTAGGTTTAAACTTAAGTTCTTAAAGCTTGTTGAGCAGATGCTCCACCATTTGAACCATGCTCCGAGGACATTTTGCTTTTGTTATTTTTGAGTGTCTTTTTCTGCCCAGAGCTAGCTTCTGCCAGGATTATTCTGTTTCTGTTTCCCTAATTATTGGGATGACTGGGGAACACCATTATGCTTAGCTTTTTATTTGTTGAGTTTTTTTGCCTAGGCCACACTGGCCTAGGACTATGATCCTCTTGATATCAGTCTCCTAAGTAACTAGTATGATTGAAGTAAGCTTTGAATAAGCACGGCTCCATAAACTAGCACCCAGTGCTGTCTGTTGTTTGGCTTTTCCTAAGTGTTGACTGCCATACTTTTCACCTACACAAGTCATTAAGTTTGAGCTGGGCATCAGTGGCTCACACCTGTAATCCTAACTGCTCAGGGGACTGAGATCTGAGGAATGCAGTTCGAAGCCAGCCTTGGTAGGAAAGTCCATGAGACTTTAAAAAAAAAAAAAATATATATATATATATATATATATATCATAAAGGTGATATACAGGCGGGTTACAGTTACAGAAGTAAGGTAATGAGTATATTTCTTTAAGTTCATTTCCAACATAGTGTCTCATGATTATCACTGCATTGGTTCATCCTTTGTCCCACTGTTTTTGTGATTTCCCCTTCCCTTGCTCAAATCAGGTAAACTTACATACAAGACAAAGGGTACAGAAATAAAAAACAGTGACAACAGGGAATAAACCAAAGGAAACAAACAAAAAAAGAACTGCAAACAGTGTAATTAAAAAAACGACAACAACAAACCTCTTACTTCCATTTCTTGGGGTTCATTTCGAAAAGTATTGTTTTATATAGTCATATATCTACATGCTATTGAGCCATTGTGATTCTCTGCTAAGAATATCCTAGACATATTCTAGTTATTACAAATGAGGGAAACCATGCAGCTTATGTTTCTTTGGGTCTCGCTTACTTGCTTAATTTTTTCCAAGTTTTTCCATTTCCTTATGAATGGGGTAATGCTATTCTTTCTGATGGAAGCATAGAATTCCTCTGTGTGTGTGTGTGTGTATGTGTGTTTATGTGTGTATATGTGTGACTGTGATCGTGATCCATTCATTTTGATCCATTCATCTACTGAGGGGCACCTGGGTTGATTTCATTTCTTAGCTATGGTAAATAATGCTGCATTGAACATTGTTGTGCTGGTAGCTTTGCTGTGGCCTTGTTTGCAGCCATTTTGGTAAATACCCAGAAGTGGGATTGCTGGGTCATAGGGGAATTCTATGTTTAGCCATATTGTTTTCTAGAGTGGTTGAATAGGAAGTAGTGCTGTGGCCCAAGTGGTAGAGTGCTCACCTTGAGCTCAAGAGCTCGGGGATAGTTCCTACACTTAGAGTTAAAGCCCCACAGCTGAAGAAAAAAAAAAAGGAAACAGTGGTTGAACAAGTTTACATTCTTACCAACATTGTAGTAGCGTTCCCTTTTGGCCATATCCCACCAGCATCTGTTATTATTTGTTTTCTTGATAATGACCATATGGCCAACATTTGTATTATTAGTTTCCTTGATAATCACCATTCTAACTGGGATGAGGTGGAATCTCCATGTTGCTTCTATTTGCATTTCTTTTATGGGCAGAGACTATGAGACTCTTATCTTCAATAAACTGCTCAGAAAAAGCCAGAAGTAGTGCTATAGCTCAAGTGGTAGAATGTTACTCTTGAGAAAAAAGCTTAGGGGTAGTGCCCAGAACTGGGAAAAACAAAACAACAAAACCCAAACAAATTCCAAATCATTAAGTTTTTTCTAGAGGGGCTGGGAAGGTGATTCAATGGTAGAGTGCTTGCCTTGCGTGCATGAGGCCCTGGGTTCGATTCCTCAGCACTTCATAAGCAGAAAGAGTTGGGAGTGGCACTGTGGCTCAATGGTAGAGTGCTAGCTTTGAGCAAAAGAATCTCAGGGACAGCACCTAGGTCCTGAGTTCAAGCCCCAGGACTGGCCAAAAATATATATATATATTATTTTTTTTTGCTGGTTGTGGGGCTTGAACTCTGGGCCTGGGCACTGTCCCTGAGATTCTTTTGCTCAAAGCTAGCACTCTACCACTTGAGCCACAGTGCCATTTCCACCTTTTTTTTGTGTATGTACTACTGAGGAATTGAACCCAGGGCTTCATGCATACAGTTCAAGCACTCTACCACTAAGCCATCTTCCCAGCCCACAAAATCAATTTATTACGCATTGCTAGCGTTAATGAAGCCTCTATGTAAAGAACTGAATAATTATCAAAACCTTTTATTTTTCTGCCACTAAGCCACATTCCCAGCCCTCTAGATACCCTTGCTATAAGATGACACATTAGAAAGGGTGCATGTTTCCATAAATAATAAATTTTTGAAATGTGTTTTATGCAAGTATAGAACTGATATAAGTAGGTTTGCTACTAGAAGTAGTTTTTTCTAACATCTGTTTACTTGTTAAGAAATAATTTACTTATTCCCCTTCTCATTGTGCAAGCAAAAAGTAACAGGAGAAAATGTTGAAGGGACACTTAGTTTAAGTGACATGTAAGTTTTATTCTTAAATCTTAATTCTTTGTTAAGAGTAAAGCTTATGAAAGATATAACATTTTATCAATTATAAGAATCTCTGACCAGGTGCGATTGTCTTTGTCTTAACACAGATATTTGGGCTGAAGAGATTAGGTTCATGGTTTGAGGCCATTTCAGGCACAAAGTTAGTGAGCAAGCTCCCCTTTACCAAATAGGTTAGCCTGATGGCACATATCCATGGCCTGAGCCAACAGGGTAGAAGGATCTTATTCTTAGACTGGTCAGGGCACAAAGATGGTACCCTACTTGATAAATACTAAAGTCAAAAACAAATGGGGGAATAGCTCCAGAGCACTTCAGTCTAATAAGCACAATAAAGACCCTGTGTTTAATTCTAGTACCACCAGGGATAAAAATAAGAACCCTCATCCCAATTACCATCTTTGAAAACTGAAAGTAAATGATGGCCATATGCATATGCATTTTAAATTTTTATTGTTGAAATCATGTAACAGGGATAGCTTTGATTGATAAAATACAATATACATATTGGTGTGTGTTAATTCTTACCCAGGAAAGCAGAATGTAGTTTCTCTGTGTTTTTCTTTCTAAAACCAGCATCAGTAGAGGCAAAACAAATATTTAGAAACTTCTAAATCTTTCTTAGAATTTCAACTTTAATAGTGTCCATTTAAACATAAATCCTGACTCTTTACAAAACTTTTAGCACTTTTAGCTGGCAATATTCCATCATTAGACAAGATTTGAAACCATCAGGTTTAAGTCTTTCTTTTACTGAAAAATTGTATGATACCTCGAGAGTTGCCATTATAATATCTTAAATAACATTGTGGGTATCATGTTTTCAATATTAACTTTTTTTTCTTAGCTAGCACCTGTGGTTCATGCCTACAATCCTAGTTATTCAGCAGGCTGGGTATTGTGTTCAAGGCTAACCTGGGCAGGAATGTCTGTGAGCCTCATACCCAATTAACCACCAAAATCTTCAAGTAGAACTGTGGTTAAAGATGTAGAGCACTAGCCTTCAGCAAATAAAACAAAAACGACCCCCCCCCCCCCCCCAAACAAGTAACAAAATGCTCAAGAAACAGCATCCAGGCTCTTAAGTTCAAGCTTCAGGTCCAGCATATACACAGGGGCATATACATATATAATTCCATGTTACTAAGAACTTACAGTTCTTATGTGTTACTGAGTTAACTTTCTTGTAAATGTTATCTAGTATAGCAGTTCTACACACTCTTAAATACTCTGTTAAAAGGACAACTTTTTAGTATCTCATAAGAGGTTTGTCGTTATTTGTTTGGTTTGAAGCTGGTATTGGGGCTTAAACCCAGGGCCTCATGTTCTAGGTTGGCTTTTTGGCTCAAGGCTGGAATCTCTACTTTCTGAGATAGTTTTTTTTTTTTTTTTTTAATGTTCCCAGGAAAAAATTTCATAGCCACATTTTTTTTATTTATGTAAAGGAATTATTTGATAATTGTGAAAACTCATATTGAGTAATGCTGGTCGGCCAGCATTTTTCAGTGAAGGGGTGGCATGATTTATTCTAGTGAATTTTAAAATTCAATGGTCAAGATTATTAAGTAAAAGCTAGGCAGTTTCCTCTCTTTGCCTTACTGCTTGGTTAAATTGAATTATGGAAGAATTCTTTATATTATATAAAATGAAGGCTTGAAATCATCTAGGAAGGAAATATTTGGGTTTGGACTAATAAAGTAAAAATGTTGGATAGATCTGCTGAGTCAGTTTTGTGCAATTCCGTTATTTGATGAGTTGAAGACAAAACTTTAATTAGACTGTAAGTTTATCAAAGGTAATCTAGTTCATCAAATGTGTATTTGCTAGTTGAATACATGTTAGATATTTGTCTATATGCTAAGGCTGTGGAGATGAATGAGTTGAGTGGAGATACATGTGTAAAGCAGAGAAGTTGTAAGTCAAATTCCTAAATTATACATCCAGATTTAGGGGATAAGATAATATATTCTAGTTGAAGGAGAAGGGGAGATGCAACACGGGACAACTAGCCTGATTGTGAACAATGGCCATGAATTTTCCAAAAAGCTAAGGGCAATCCTGACTGAGGGAAAACAGTATTAAAAGTCATGACCGTTTTTGGCAAAACTGATATATTTAGTACATGCTGAGATAGTGCAGGAAGTGCAAAGTACTATGTCTGGTTGAGTAGAGGACTACGCCAGTAATTCTGAAGCACTTTGTAAGGATCATGAACCTAATCTAACCTATCCTAAGCTAGGATTACAGGTGTGAGTCATCAAGTCTAGATATTCATTACATTTCTCATTTATGCCTGGACTGGCCTGAAACCTCTATTCTTCCAATCCTAACCTCCACTACCTGAGTAGCTAGTATTTTAGCAGGCCTGAACTACCAGCAATAAACTTCAATGGTCTTCTAATATGTACATATTTTGTAACCCATTAAGACCAAAATATAAAATTATTTTTTAAAATGTTTGTAAACTGTGTGTAGCAACACAAACCCATCTGCTTATAAAGCATTAAAACATGATGCATAAGCTGACCTTTCCCCTTTGGCCCTTTTCCTAACATTCTCTCGTACACACAAGTCCCCATTGCTATGCTAAATATGAGCTTCTTCTCTAGTAGAACTCTGAACAGCTAAGCAGATTGACCAAATGGGTTTAGGATCTTTCTCCTCAAATATTCTCTTTTATACACTACTTCTCCCATACTCTCCTAATCTTACTGTTTTCTTAATTCTTACCCATCTCAGTACCACCATTTTTCACAAACAGAACTACTTCTTTTATATTGCTAAATTCACATCATATGATTCTGCTTAAAAAAAACAAACATATTTCTAATGTTAACCACCCCTTATCATTAAGTGCCTGAAGCTCGTTGGTTTGCTTTCAACATCTAAAAATATCACAATGCTTGCAGTTCAAAAAGACTGCTTAGGGGCTGGAAAGGTGGCTTAGTAGTAGAGCGCTTGCCTTGCATGCATGAGGCCCTGGGTTCGATTCCTCAGCACCACATAAGCAAAAAGAAAAAAGCCGGAAGTGGTGCTGTGGCTCAAGTGGTAGAGAGCTAGCCTTGAGCTGAAGAGCTGAGGGACAGCGCCCAGGCCAGAGTTCAGGTCCCATGACCGGACCCCCCCCCCCCCAAAAAAAAAAAAAAAGACTGCTTAGTGAGGGGCACAGGAAGAACATCTTACTCCCTATGTGGTCATCAAAAAGGAGAAAGAAGATAGATGTCCACAGTTCATTAAATAAAATTTATGCTGTAAAAACTATGTAGTATGTTTACAAATCATTCATGAAGATGAATGCCATCTCACAAAACAATTATTAAGCCTAAATTATCTGAACCTTCGTTAGTAATCTGGCACATTTAACAAGTCTACCTGATTCTCTCTCTTATAAATTCAAACACCTCATTGTGTTACAGAGTGATTCTTCTAAAACATTAACACTATACTCATTCTTTCATTTGTCTTCAGTATTAGATTAAATAGGCAGGTAGATCATAGTTCAGTCATATCAGGAAGACTTTATTCTAAGAATACATAGGCAAAAGGGCTTGGGGGAAGGAGTGACTGGGGGTAGAGCATCTGCCTAACAAGTGCAGTGCCCTAAATTCAACTCCCTAGTTCCACCAAAAAAGAAAAAAGAAAATGTATTGAGCTGTAAACAGAATTTGTGTATTTGTGTATTGTACATTTGCCTATATAAATTATATATTATGTAGTATTGGAAAAAATAAATTTTAAAAAGAAAGCTGGGTGCTGGTGGCTCATGTTTGTAATCCTAGCTACTCAGGAGGCTGAGATTTGAGAATTGCCGTTCAAAGTCAGCCCAGGCAGGAAACTCCATGAGACAATTTTTTTTTGGGGGGGTGGGGGGGGGTTGGTCTTGGGCCTTGAACTCTGGGCTTGAGTGCTGTCCCTGTGCTCTTCAGCTCAAGGCGAGCAATCTACCGCTTGAGCCACAGCATCATTTCTGGTTTTCTAGTGGTTTTTATTGGACTTTCCTGCCCAGGCTGGCTTTGAACCTCGATCCTCAGATCTCAGCCTGCTGAGTAGCTAGGATTACAGGCATGAGCCACCGACTCTTATCTTCAGTTAACCACCAGGAAACCAGAAGTAGTACTGTGGCTTGAGTGGTAGAGCACTAGCCTTGAGCTGAAGAGCTGATGGACATCACCCAGGCCCAGAATTAAAGCCCCACAACTGACGAAAAAAAAAAAAATTCTCTTCTGACTTTAAAGATATGAGACATATAGGGGATTGAAGAAAAATATCTTTTCAAAATTATCTTTGATAGTGATAAAATTATTCATGTTACTAATTCATTGTGTCCTATGTACTTCATTTTTTTGTGTTCTCTATGTAGATATCTCTTATGTCTTTGAATTAATTTTGTAGTGACTATTAGTCTTCAAAGAAGAGCACTTGCTTGAATTCTGGAAATATTTATAATCCTAAACAATTTGCAGACTTTTTATTTCTAAAATAGTTTTAACTCAAGTAGACTCAGTAGCATTAAACTACTTTTGATGATTTTTTTAAAATTTTTAGCCTAATCAAGATGTTGTGGAACAAATGGAGAAATGGTAAGTTTTAGCTTTTTCTTTTTATATTTTGATAACTCATATCTGCCAGTTTGAAGTAATAACATTATTGAAACTACATTAAGCTAGGTTCTTAAGTTCTTTCTACTATGTGGATAAAATAGAGTGTGGTATACTGTTGGATAGAGTAGGTTATTTATAATTAATGGATGTCCTGTGTAGAAGTTGATTGTCTTGTCTAGGCTAGCATATAGTATATAGTACCTCAGCACATTTTAGTAAGGAAGAAGTATCTTCCTCATTTTTTTAAAATTCACCCTTCCTTCCTTCCTTCCTTCCTTCCTTCCTCCCTCCCTCCCTCCCTCCCTCCCTCCCTCCCTCCCTCCCTCCCTCCCTCCGTCAGTTGTGAGGCCTAAACTCTGGGCCCCGGTGCTGTCCCTCAGCTCTTCAGCTCAAGATTAGCATTCTACCACTTGAGCCACAGTGCCACTTCTGGCTTTTTCTGCTTATGTGGTGTTGAGGACTCAAACCCAGGGCCTCATGCATGCAAGGCAAGCACTCTATCGCTGAGCCACGTTCCAGCCCAGGTTAAGAAGTATCTTGAGATCCTGACTGAAGAAAGATTTCTAGAATTAAAAATTGTATAAGAAATGATAAGAGGGTGTTGACCTGTGTAAAATATTTAGGAATATTAATTACTTTGATGTTCTAACTTTGATGTTCTTGTTATTTACAAATGTTCTAAATTTGTAATTTCAGCATTCAAGAGAAAGATGAGAAGTTAAAGACTGTAGAAGAATTACTTGAAGCTGGACTTATTCAGGTGGCCACTAAAGAGGAGGAACTGAATGTAAAACATTTTGTAGATTTGTTTTTCTTGTGCTTATTTAATGAATATCAAGGGGTTTGGTTCTAATTGTATGAGATTTCCCTATATCTCTTACCTTACTAGTTATATAGGTTTATAAAATGTCCTTTTTCATTAAGTTTAAGATTTCTTTAGAAATACACACACACATACATAGTTGATTTAGCTTTCACTGCCTTAATGAGGTAGATAACTGTTGTTGGGTTTGATAATAAATGTTTCCTCACTGGCAAATTATAAACAGATGATTACTAGCAGACTTCCTAATTCCATGGAGGTTAGAGGTTAGAGACGTTAGAGAAAGAAAAGTTCAGTTCTGTTTTATTATTCTCTTTAGATTTAACTAACTGGGTAGAAATAAGGTTCTTAGGAAAATAAGTTGGTGTACTATGTATTTTTTGGAAATATAAGTAGAAATACATAGGTGGTAATTGCATCAGAATACTAGTTGGCTAGCTGTAGAAGTTAAAAAACTGTAGACATGAAATTTGGGGCCTTCCAAAGAGTAAAAAATCAGCTAAAGATAAGGAAAAGCTAATGTGTTTTGAAACTTGCTAATTTTTTAGGAAATAAAATTATGTTGTGCTTACATGTCTTTGAAAAGGCTCTAAGAACAGAAAATTCAACCCTGATGGAAGAAGTTCAAGCTTTAAAGGCTAAGCAAAATGATCAGGTAATGTAGATTGTAGATTCTACAACTGTTCTCTTTCAAACATTCAGCAAAATTGCTATATAAAAACACAAGTCTGTTGTTTGTCTCTTTCTCCTCCAAGGGGAAATTTAATTAGTGACATGATTGGTAATCATGCTGAAGTTTATTGATAACTGTATGCCAGGCATTGTGTAGATTACGCTTAATAGGATTTTTTTTTTTTGGGGTCCGGTTGTGGGGCCTAAACTCTGGGTTTGGGCGCTGTCCCTTAGCTCTTCAGCTCAAGGCTAGCTCTCTACCACTTGAGCCACAGCACCACTTCCGGCTTTTTTCTTTTTGCTTATGTGGTGCTGAGGAATCGAACCCAGGGCCTCAGGCATGCAAGGCAAGTGCTCTACCACTGAGTCAGCTTCCCAGCCCAATAGGATTTTTTTTTATTATATTGATAGAAGTTTTTGCATATACAAATGGTAATTAAGGCTTTAAATATAAAGCAGTTTCCTAGTTATATTTTCTCATTAGGTGAAATTTCTTAATAATTTAAATATTTAGTGCTTCTTATGGCCTATATTTTAAAATAAAAGTTAAGTGTATACTTTTAAAATGCTAGTTGTTTTTATCATCATGACATTTAAAAAACTATAAAGAATTCTTGGGTTTTCTCATTTGGATTCTGGTGTAGAGGCAAATTTACAAGTTGTATGCTTTTTCTGGCCTAGTTTGGACAAAATTGCTAAGATTCCTTTGTATTTCAGGTTTCTTTTGCATCTGTAGTTGAAGAACTTAAGAAAGTGTAAGTGATACCATTATAATAAACTAGTCTTTTTCTTTTGGAGTCTTTTTTTCAAAAATAATCATAAATCTATTTTTTACGTTTAGTTGGGATACCTAATGTATGCTAGTTTTAACTTTCACTGTAGAATTTTTCATTAATGGTTAAGGAAATTAGCCATGTTGTCTCAAATCTAATGTAACTTTAACAAAAACATCAGTTTCCATAATTGATTGCATTTATTTTCATGTGATATCAGATTGTTACTTGTTTTGTATGTTGCAGGAGTAGCTATTAAAGAACAGATGATTTTTTATATAGAGATAAATCTTTGCATGTATGTTGTTGTTGAAATTTGATGTCATAGTTATATGTGTGCCATAGCTTTCGAAGGCCTAGAATCTTATTAATGAAACATGATTTTCTCTTATGTTCTTCATGGGACAAATCTTAAATTTATGTAAAGCACACCACCAGCCTTATGTATGCCTCCTAGATTTTAATCATCTAGTAGTTGCTGTAGAATTCTCATTTAGGAGGAGCTTTTAAGTGCTTGTTTCCCTTCTTTTGCCTGCAAACATAAGTTGATATTTTATTTAAAACTAGGAGTTGATTTAGAAAACTTTCATGATTTTTTTTGTTACTATCAAAAAACTCCAAAAAACTTATTTGGTAAATCTTAATGATTTCCATCCAAATTAATGTATCATTTGTTCAATTAAGGATCCATGAGAAGGATGGAAAGATCAAGACTGTAGAAGAGCTTCTGGAAGTTGAACTTCTCAAAGTTGCTAATAAAGAGAAAACTATTCAGGTATGTATACATACATATATGTATGTATGTATATGTATATATATAGAGAGAGCGAGCGAGAGAACAGTGTTTGACTTTTCTGTTTATCAAGTTTAGTTAATATCATTTAATTTTATGTTTGTCTGTGCATTGCATTTTTTTGGTCAACTTCTGTGTTTCCATAGTCCAATCTCGTCTATTTTGTCATTGTCAAGGATTTGAAACAGGAAATAGAGGCTCTAAAAGAAGAAATAGGAAATGTCCAGCTTGAAAAGGCTCAACAGGTAAAAATCCCAGAGCCGTAGCATGACAGATTTATTAGTGTATGTATTATTTATGAGCTATTTGTTGTTCTTTTTACTCAGAAAACAATTTGTAATAGTGTGCTTTATGTATACTGAGTTTAAGTGCTTTACTTTTTTGCCCGAGTTGACCAAGAGTCCTTAATATTTTAATCTATTATCTTTAAAAGCTTTTAACAAGGCCCTTTTCTAGGAAGTTTTCTGTATTAATACTTTAGTTTGCCAAAATACTCATAAACTCTTTTTTAAACCCCTCATTATAAAAAAAGATAAACTGCATGGACCAGATTTGGATTTGCTTATATAATGTGTATTGTTAAACCTTTGCCTCTAGAACAAAATACGAAGTTTCTATAGAGGATTCCAGAGGTAGACATGATTACTAGAAACATATGCATTTTATTACAATTAATTTGATAAATATTCATTGAAAAAATAATGAGATTGCATGGAAAAGAGAATTCATTCATCCAGCAGATTCATTCAACAATATTTATGGAATTCCTTCTACTTATAGTCTTGTGCTAATGATTAAAGATAATATGTTAAGTAGTTGAGAGTTCAGGAGAGGCTCTTGCTGAAGCACTGACTGTAAGCCAAGATCTAAATGGATTATGGGAAGAGAATGGGGGGGGGTGAAAGGTGCTATTAGATTGTATGACCTTTTAAAAAGGTGATAAGGAAGGACAGTCAAAGTACCATTGAGTAGTGGGTATTAAAAAATGAGGCTGACAAAAGTTCTGATACTGTAGAGAAGGGAGATGTGAGAACAGTTAGATAATATGCTTAATCTTCACAAGTATAGAAATACCACATTATTTAGACTTATTAATTATAATCATCTTATCCTTTCACTGTTAAAGTTTTAGTTTGATAGTAAAACACAAAGCACGAATACAAATAAAACACAAACTATGTGTCTGAAAATAGAACACATGGTGGTATGAAATTGACATCTTTGCAGTTTGACATCTTTTAATTTGAAGTGTGCATATTATAAATATTTATGAAGCTTAATAAGGTAAATTAAAAGATTATAAGTTACTTTTCCTGTCCTTTTTATTTTAGTTATCTATCACTTCTCAAGTTCAGGAGCTTCAGAATTTGTAAGTACCATTTTTCTAATTATCCTATTTTCCACCAGTAAGACATACCGAAAATCAGTTAGTTTGATCTCAGTGTTTTAGAAAGTGCCAAATTAGTTTAAAAGGACAAAGTTCTTTTAAATTTTTCATTATTCTTCAACCTATTAGTTTTTGGTGGGATCAAAGTTTCATTTTTCTTTGACTATAATTTGAATATGGCCTTAAGCTTGAGTTGTTGCATTCATTTTAATGGCCATGTAGAACTGGCATTTCATGCTCAAACTAGTTGTGTGTTTTTTTTTTTTTGTTTTTTGTTTTTTTTGGTCAGTCGTGGGGCTTGAACTCTGAGACTTGGCCTGGGCCTGGGCGCTGTCCCTGAGCTCTTCAGCTCAAGGCAAGTGCTCTACCACTTGAGCCACAGCAGCACTTCTAGTTTTCTGGTGTTTAATTGGAGATAAGAGTCTCATGATTTACTGAAGAGGCTTTCTTCCACCCTAATTTTTTGGCTCCCTTATTGAAGATTGGGTGGCTATAAGTCTGCAAATTTATTTCTGGGTCTTTGGTTCTGACCATTGGTCATGAACACAAGAAGTTTTTCTTTGTTGTTGTTGTTCTCAGTGTAGTATGTGATTTCTTTTTTCTTTTGTGTTTTTTTTCCCTATGGTGTTTGATTTTGGTACCTTAGATATTGTATATATATTTATATGAGCTAGGGAAGGGGAACAACAAAATGGTGAGACAAAGGGGGAACCTATGCAACAGCAATACTTACAAGACAAGATGTTGGAAATGATCTGTAGAACTTGCAGGGAGAGGGAAAGACGGAGAAAAATGAAGGAAGGAGTAACAAGTTAGACTACCTTACTTAAGTAACTGTAACCTCTCTGCACATCACCTTGACAATAAAATAACAAACAAAAATGGGCTTTCTTATCTAGGCTGGCTTTGAATCACAATCCTTAGATCTCAGCCTCCTGAGTAGCGCTAGTATTATAGATATGAGCCACCAGTGCCTGGTATACTCAAATCAGTTTTAATGAGATGTCCAACTTTGCTGATAATAGTTTAAGATAGCTGAATCATTCGATATCTGGATATTTCATGATAGTTTTGTTCTTTTTTAAACTAGTTCCAGGGCTTGACCATGCAGTGCCTCACATTCTCAGCTCTACCACTTGAGTCATGCCCCAGCCCAGCCTTTTGTTAGTTAATTGGGGATAGAGTCTCAAGGTGTTTTCAACCTGGGCTGACTTTGAACCTTAGTTGTCCAGAATCCAGCATCCTGAGTTTCTAGGATTATAAGTGTTCCTGTAATGCCACCGGCTTCTGGTGCAAAGCAGTTTTAAAATCATCATATAGTCCCTAATTTGATTATTTCTCCAAAATCTCTTCTACTTTAAGTACTTTTTAGTTTATTTTAATCAGTTTGGACTCAGAACTACCTGAAACATACTTTTCTAGGCTTGAGTACTTTTGCTTTTTATGGTCATCTGATATTTTCATTTGTAGTAATTACCAATTTATTTTCAGATTAAGAGGAAAGGAGGAACAGATGAATACTATGAAGACTATTTTAGAAGAGAAGGAGAAAGATCTGGCGAGTAGGGGGAAATGGCTGCAGGTGAGAAGTTAAAAACAAAAGTAAAAAACAACTTCAAAATAATTGAATATCAATTCACACTTATTATTTTTAAGGATCTTCAAGAAGAAAATGAATCTTTAAAGGCTCATATTCAGGAAGCAGCACAATATAACTTGCAAGAGGTATAGTATAAACGTATCTCCAACATGCTACATAAGGAATGAGAAACCTTTATATAAGGTCCTGGAAAGTAAAGAAGTTAATATATTTTCTGTTTGCCAGAAAAACCATGTTGTATCATAATTTTGTTATTGTTGTTAAAATAAGTTAGTTTTTAATTCCTGTCAAAATCTATTTGTCTGATTTGTAAAATGTAAGCTTACAAGCATTTCCTTTTTCTTTTTTCAATTGCACTCCAAGTACTTTGAACTGTGTTGAGTTGGTGTACTAATCTGTAATACTTCATGAAATAAATAATTAAAATTTAAGTTTTATAGAGAAAACTTTTCTGTCCTTGTGTGTTACAAATGTTCTAATCTAAACTTTACCACATAATTACATTTTTACCTTACTGGTGAGTGATTCTGCATTTATAGTGTAGTACCTGGTTTGTTTTGATGTTAGTATTATAAATGTGAATCTGTTTCTTAGGCATGTTCTGCATCACGATTTGAAGAACTTGAAGTTGTGTAAGTATACTTTTAGCTAGTATTTTGAAGAACTTCTCTTTATTTTCCAGAATGTGCTGAAAGTCCATGATTCCTCTTAGGAATCATGTTAAGTGTTCAGTGTTTAAAGTGGTACAGTTCAGAAGCAAATAAGGCAAGTCTCTGTAGTAATATTACAGAGGCTCTTTAAATGGTTTGGGATATCTGAAGGTTTTGTCCTTTTCAAACCCATCTAATGTGGTTTCTCAAATATTCTTTCTGTAAAGATAGACTTTTTAAGTTGTTTTAAAAAATCAAGGTAATTATTGTAAAAGGTAATTAATTTCAAATCAGAAGGTTATAGCTATAATACTGGTAATGGATATCATATCCATTATTAAAGGGGAAAATAGGACTTGCTGTGTTTGTTAAGTGCTGAATAATAAACTGACTCAGCATGAGATGTCATTCTTTCAAATATTCATTTAATCCTATAAAATATCTGTGTTCTGTACACGAAATCAGTCATTACTGGTGAAGAAGGGAATCAAGACCTCAACTTTTTGAGTAAGATATTGAAAGTATTTATTAGATCACTTGTAATGAAAGCAAGGTAGATGACTCCTGGATCCAAGATTGTACATTCATAAAACGAATTGTTTTTCCCTTGGGCATCATATAACTCTCAAAGTTCTTTTATCTGCTAATAGCCTCTAGACAAAATTGTGGCCCTTATATAGTTGATATATATATATATTACTAAGTTATATATAATAGATATATATATATTACTAAGTTATATATAATAGTGGGCTTATTTTTGCTTTACTTTATAAATTATAGCAGTTTAGGTTTATAGAAACAAGAGAGAAGTACAGCGAGTTCCTGTTGCTCTCTGCATTTCCCCTGTTAGTAAAGCATTAACTAAAGGCCACATTTTCTATTAGCGCTTACTTGGTAGGATTTAACCAGTGTAAAATGACAATATTTCCACCATTACAGTATTACGTATTACACAGAATAGTTTCATTGTCCTAAAAACCTCTCTTACCTACATTTTAATACTACTGTCCCTTAAATTACTCCCCTGGGCCCCTTGAATTCCTATCAACTACTGGTACACACACACACACACACACACACACACACACACACACACACACACACACACACACACACACACACACACACACACACACACACACACACACACACACACACACACACACACACACACACACACACACACACACACACACACACACACACTCTCTCTCTCTCTCTCTCTCTCTCTCTCTCTCTCTCTCTCTCTCTCTCTCTCCTTCTCTCCCTCTCCCCCTCTCCCTCTCCCTCTCCCTCTCCCTCTCTCTCTCCCTCTCTTCCTCTCCCCCTCTCCCTCTCTCGCTCTCTCTCTACTGGTCTCTCTCTCACACACACACACACACACACACACACACACGCCAACTATTGAGATAATTTTGCGTTTTCTAAAATGTCATATTGAAACTATACAGTATATAGCCTTTTCAGATAGTTAAAAAAAATTAACAAATGTACCGTTAGTCCTCTCCTCCCTCCATCTCCCTTCTTTCCTCTCTCTTTTCCCTCCCTCCCTCCCCTCTTCCCCTCCTTCCCTTCCTTCTTCCCTTCTTTCCCTTCCTTCCCTTCCTTCTCTCCCTTCCCTCCCTTCCCTCCCTCCCTCCCTCTTTCTCTCTCTCTCTCTCTTTCTCTTTCCCTCCCTCCCTCCCTCCCTCCTTCCCTCTCTCTCTCTCTCTCTCTCTCTCTTTCTTTCTTTCTTTCTCTCTTTCCTTTCTTTCTTTCTTTCATCTTGGGGCCTTGTGCTAGATAATACTCTTGTTGCTAAAATATAGAAAGAAATGGCTGGTAGGCAATGAACTATCTTCCTTAGGAGTGATATTAGAGTCTGGTTTTTGTTTATGTATATTAGTAAAATAAGGTCTTTAAAAAATTTAGGTTGAAAGAAAAGGAAAATGAAATGAAGAGAATAGAAGCTATGTTAAATGAGAAGGAGAGTGATCTTTCTAGCAAAACACAGCTGTTGCAGGTAAGTATGATTACTTGAAATTAATTTTTGGGTGGATTTATTTTCTGTGTGATTTTTTTTTTTTTTTTTTTGGGTCGGTTGTGGGTCTTGACTCTGGTTCTGGGCACTGTCCCTGAGCTCTTCAGCCCAAGGCTTGCACTCACTCTTACCACTTGAGCCACGGCGCCACTTCTGGTTTTCTGATGGTGTATTGGAGATAAGAGTCTCACAGACTTTCCTGCCTAGGTTGGCTTTGAACCATGATACTCAGATCTCAGCCTTCTGAGTACCTAGGATTACAGGCATGAGCTACTGGCACTTGGCTGATTTTGTGTTTTTATTAAGATTTTTTATTATTATACATAAGTTGTGCAAGTGGGCTTTCTTTTAAAAAAGTTTTTACTATCTTTAAGTAGTAATTCAAAGGAGTTGCTATTCACCAAAACAGTTCATGAATACTGTACAGTTGCATCAGTGTCACACTTTTTAACATTCTTATCCATCTCTTCCCACCCACCTCTTCCCTTAATTTTATGTTATGTATTGAGTTTTTTTTGCCATTTAACAAAGCAGTTTATATGTACAATTCATCTTGATTGGTGTCATCACTTCAACATCTTCATCGCCCTTCAGCCCTGTGGTATATACAATGAATTCTTGCCTGCATTTTGTCCCCTCCCCCCCTTCATTCCTCTATTCCCTCTTTCCTTGGCCCCAGCAAGTGGGCTTTCATCATAGTATTTTTGTACATGTATACAATGTACCCCAAGAACCCTCACCTTCTTAAAACAATTTCAACAGGTTTCATTGTTCTATTTTCATATGTGCTGCTGCTGTTATTATTGTAGTACAGGGGTTTGAATTCAGGGCCTTGCATTTACTATGCAACTACTCTTTGAAAATTTTAGTAAGGGTTTAGTATAATAAAGTTAGAGTAGGAAGAAATTGAGAAGAAACATTTTTTGCTTTTTGATTGTAGGAAATGGAATTTAAAGACTCAAGCCATTCTGCCATTTGAGCCATGCCTTCAGCCTGTTTTTTTTTTTTTTTTTTTTTTTTGTGGTTTGTTTCTTGTTTTTTGGGGGGGCCAGTCCTGGGGTTTGAACTCAGGACTTGGACACTGTTGTCCCCGAGCTTCTTTTGCTTAAGACTAGCACTCTACCATTTGAGCCACAGAGCCACTTCTCACTTTTTCCTGTTTATGTGGTACTGAGGAATTGAACCTAGGGCTTCATGCATGCTAGGCAAACACTTTGTCACTAAGCCATATTCCCAGCCCCCAGCCTATTTATATATATATTTGTGTGTGTGTGTGCGCGCATATGTATGCATGCATATATATGCATGTGCACACACGTGCTGTACAAGTGTACTTGCTGGTTCTGGGGCTTGAACTCAGGGCCTGGGTGCCGTCTCCAAGCTTTTTGCTGAAGTCTAACTCTCTACCACTGTGATACTGCTCCATTTTGGCTTTTTGGTGGTTAAAGACAGAAATCTTACAGATTTTCCTGCTTAGACAACCTTTGATTCATATGTGATCCTCAGATCTGAGTCTCCTGAATATCTAAGATAATCATCATGAGTCTTGCTGTTTTTATATGTAGTTTTTAAAAGTAGGACTGGGAAGATGGCTCAGTGCTAAAGTACTTGCCTAGCATGCATGAGGCCCTGTGTTTGATTTCCTCAGCATCACCTAAGCAGAAAAAGCTGGAAGTGGTGCTGTGGCTCAAGTGGTAAAGTGCTAACCTTGAGCTGAAGAGCTGAGGGACAGTGCCCCAAACCCAGAGTTCAGGCCCCACAACTGACCAAAAAAAAAAAAAAAGTAGACTAAATTGCTTTAAGAGAAATAGAAAACAGATCAATATTCTCATCAAGATAATGGTTCTTATTCCTTAAAGAAAACTACTGTCTATGCTGGTTATATCTTCTGAAAAAGTGCCTATTACTACTATTTTTGAGAACCTTATATAAATATTTATCTACCTTTAACTTTTGTTGTTTTTATTTCCAGTTTTTGCTGTGCTAGTAATTGAACTCAGGGTCTTGCACACTGGCTTAGGCAAGTGCTTTACCACTGAGCTATATCCTTAACCTCTGAATTTTTCCTCCTCTTGGTGGTACTAGTGGTTGGAATCTTGGCCTCTCATGCTTCTTGAGCAGGCATCCCACTTAAGCTGTGTGTAAAATCTTTTCTGTAAACCAAACCAGTGTTTCTATTATTGATCTATGTCCCTTGGAACTGTTTTATTTTATCTTGTTTTTCTTAAATAATGTCTTGGTATGTAGCCCACAGTATTCTTGAACTTGGTATATAGCCTAGGCTTGTTCTCCTGGAGCTCTTCCTGTCTTTGTCTCTCCAGTTTTGAAATAATAATAAGCATTCCCAATAATAAGCATTTAACTCTTAATACCTTCAAAATGTTTTATGGTTGTATCACTGTTTATATAATTGAGGTTGATAGTTCCTGCAGTATTTAGTGTGTTTTTTTAAAGTCATAAATAATACTACACTGATCATTCTTGCATACAGTTTGAATAGTTTTGTTGGTAAATCTGTTACAGATTACTGAAAGTAAAATTCTGGGTCAAAAATTTATTCAGGCTTTGCTTGGTTTTTAGAGGTAATTTAAATAGAAAGACATTGTCTCCTCACCTACATTAGTAATTAAAAGTACTTCTTGGAGATTTGAAGTGCTAGCAAATTTGTAGATGCTTTCAGTGTCTTAAACCTGTCTTGCTCCCACTCGGTACTCCAAGGATTGTCATATTTCCTCTGCCTGCCAATTATGCTCAGTTTTAGTTTTGTTAAATAATGCTAAATTGTCATCCAAAGTATATTTTAATAATTTATAATATTGCCAGTGAAGAATTGTTCCCCTTTTTCAATGCTGAAAAATGATGAAAACATTCAATATTACACTTGAAAGGTGTATTGTAAGTTGTATTTGATTGTGAGAAAAGTTAACCATTCTTCAAAAGTTTAAGCCATACATGTATGAATTAGTTTTTAATTTTTCCAACATTTTTTTCTTCCAGGATAACTTTTTCTTAGCAAGTTATGATTTTTTTATATAATAAACTAAGTTTTTATTATATGAGGGAATTTGTTTTTTCCTACTTGTTTTGAGTTTTCTTTTTTTGTGATAGTATCACTATGTAGCTCACGCCTTGAATGACACTGCTGCTTCAGCCCCCTGAGTGCTAAGGTTACAACGTGTGCCCTACTATGCCCAACTTTCTTTTGAATTTATTTATATTTTCCCTTCTCTTTTGAAGGTTAGAATCCTCCCCACCCCCCCGCCCCCTTCTGGTACGGGGGGCTTGTACTCAGAGCCTGATGTTCTCTGATGTTCTTGGTTGGTTTTTGTTTTTTTTTTTACTCACAGCTGTTGCTCTACCAGTTCCAGCTGTGTTGATTAACTGAATATAAAAATAAAAGTCTCTCAGATTTGTCTGCCTGTACTGAAATCCTCAGAACTCAGAGTTTTGAGTCGCTAGGATTATAGGTATGGGCCACCAGTTCTTTGATTAGTTTAATTTTTTTTTTCTGGTACTGGTTTTTATACTTGAACCTCAGGGCCTAGATACTGTCCTTGAGCTTTTTTATTCCAAGGTTACTATTCTGCTACTTGAGCCAGAGCTCTACTTGGAAGTTTTTCCTGGTTAATAAGAGATAAGAGTCTTAAGGTTTTCCTGGACTGGCTCTAAGGCCATCCTCAGATCTTAGCCTTTGGAGTAGCTAGGATTGCAGGTATGAGTCACTGGCACCCAGCTGGTTTAAAACTTTTTTTTTTGGTCCAGTCGTGGGGCCTGAACTCTGGGCCTGGGCGCTGTACCTCACCTCTTCAGCTCAAGGTTAGCGCTATACCACTTGAGCCACAGCGCCACTTCCGGCTTTTTTTCTTTTTGTTTATGTGGTACTGAGGAATTGAACCCAGGGCCTCAGGCATACAAGGTGAGCGCTCTACCACTGTGCCACCTTCCCAGCCCCGTTTAAAACTTTTTTATACTCAAATATAAGTTTCTTTTAAGTCTTAGGGAGAATGGAATCTTTCACTTGTAATTATTAAAATATTCTCACCTGTTTTACTAAATTTACAATTTCCATTTTATTTAGATTTTCAAATATATATAATTTATTTCAGGTTGTTTTATGGAATAGCTTTCTATTAATTTTTTTAAAAGGTTAGCTACATCATTACATGATCCATATTAGGTTGGGATGAAGTCTCAAGACATGAGGCTCTGAGTTTAAAACTTCAAAAAACTCTGCTCCGGAAATGGCACTGTGGCTCAAGTGGTAGAGCACTAGCCTTGAGCTGAAGAGCTGAGGGACAGTGCCCAGGCCCAGAGTTCAGGCCCCATGACTGAAAAAAAAAAAAAATCTCAACATAGTGTTTAAATACTGATCTAGGTACAAGGCCACTTGAAGCAAGTTTTACGTTTGGTTGTATTTTCTTTGTATATTATAAACATTGAAACTTGTTGCAGTTTGAAGTAAATTTCCAAAATGTATGCTCAACAATAATCATTAAAATGTTTGGAGCATACAAAAAACCCCAAAAACCCAATCCATTATAATTTCCGCAGTTTTTCCCAGGAGACATTTAGCAATACCTGGAGACTTCTTGGTAGAAGAGAAATGCTAGTGCAACCACTAGATGGAGGTCATGAAAATTGCTAAATGTCCCACAGTGCCTAAGACAGTACCCTAAAACAAAGGTATATCAAGTCTAAAATATTACTAGTGTTGAGTTTGAGATACTGTGTCCTACTCAGTTCACATGTCCTAGAATATACATCTACCCGTACTTGGGTCTACTTTCCAAAACTATTTCGTTCTACTGAGACATACTGACTCCTAAGCTGCTACTAAATATACATGATAATTACATAATATATTTTAGTATATTGCTTATCATATCCTTTTAAAATAGTTTTGCAAATTTTGTAGATTATATATGTTTCAACAGCTTATAAAGGAAATAAAAATCTCTAGGTATTCATGTTTAATTTTTGTTTAAATAGGAGATACAAGATGAAAATCAACTGCTTAAATCTCAAATTGAACAGATTAAGCAGGAGAACTACCAACAGGTTGGTACTATTATCTTGTCTTTGATTTGTATAGCAAAAAAAATGTAACTCATGACTGTCTATAACATTCTTGCCATTTTAAAATTTCATTGAGAATAAAAGGTTCTCTTACTGCTTTTCTATAAAAGAAAGCAATTTGCTATGCAATATTTAAGATAAAATACAACTTATGAAAATATACCGTGTGTATTCCAGCTTTAAATCTTCTAGAATGCTTCTAGCTGGTCTATTTAAAATAAGTGGATCTTCTCCTTAAATAAACATCAGTAACTGGAGGGAATCTAACAAATATGTAAGTTAGAAGCAACAGCCTGTTACTACTTAAAACTGTTTCAATATGTAATTCTACTTGGTAAAAAATAAAATTAAAATAATGATTTTTAGAAAAACGTATATCCAGTTTTCTTTACTTGGTAAACCAGATTAGGCCATATGTATTTTGAAAGATAAAGAATTAGAATGCCTATTGACATATAGTTTCTATAGTTAAGGAGTTTGTAACCAAGGAATAAATACCATATATGACAGTAGTGTACTTGTGCATATTATGTAAAATTAACTTTTCTGTTATGTGCTCGGTAACTAGTTTTTGACTTTCCAAAGCTTAAATTTTTTAAAATAGTGAAATATAAATTAAACTGCTGTATACATAAGAAATAAATTCTTATTAAATGAAGATTATTTGTAGCCACAGTGAAGGTTGGAATTAGCACTTAATTCATTTTATAAATAATTTTTTATTAAGACCACATGGTTAAAGTCAAAGTTCTAGCATGTGGAATACTTTTTTATCTTCAGTGTTGTCTTAATTTATGTGTGAGAATTTAATTTTGTTGTAAGGAATGCTTTAATTTGAAATAACACTTAATTTTTTTAATAGGCTCCTTCTTTTCCCCCTCACGAAGAATTACTAAAAGTGTAAGTAATACGTTTGATTGACAGTTTGGGAAGTAGTAAACTTTTTATATGCTAAATTATAGTTCTTAAGGAAGTGATTTAGTGTAACTGTTACAAACATCACTAACTTTAGTGGTTGAACTCTGACCTACTATCAGTGTCTTGCAGCCTTGCCTTTGGCTGATGTGCCTGTTGCATCATGAATTTCTTCTGTCTTGTTATGAGAGATGCTTGGGTTTTTTGTTTTGTTTTCTTTTTAGGCATTCAGAAAATACTGAATCAAATTAAGCTGTAGTTGAAAGGCTTTATCTTCAGATTGCCTCAGATACCCTACTGTGTGTCCTTTATTCTGGATCTTGTGTAATTGAATGGTTTAGATTTTGGCTTACCTCTTCCATTTTTAAGAAAACTTAGAAAAAACTACTGCTGACAAGAAAAATGGTTCAGAAAAAAAAGTCACCTTCAAAGAGAGCACCAATAAAACTCCTAAAAGGCTAGTAATTTAAATCATTTCTAATAAGTTACGTTTCAACATGCCAAAAGCCAACCACATGAAATATTTTAATATATAATGCAGGTATTCTAAATGTTTTCTAATTTGGCTTGTTTATAAAGTAGGTTCTTTACTATTTTAAACTGAGTCCTGTGGTTGACTGTAGAAAGCATGATTTGCCATCTACCTCTAAGTCCAGCTTTGAAACATTTTTGATAAAGGGCCTGGTAATGAGTGTTTTAGGCTTCATGGGCCAAAGGAGCCTTTTTGTTTCATTCTGTTTTTTTTTTTTTTTTTTTTTTTTTAGTAAGGGATACTTTTAAGAACATCAACACAAGTTGGGCATAGCATTTCACATATGTAGTACCAGCTACTTGGAATGCTGGATGAGATCATGAGACCTTGTCTCAAAAAAAGTTATCAACAGCTGTTGGTTCAGACCAGATGATGAGCTGGTCAATCCTATACCTATTTGTGGATGTGAGGGTCAGCTAGCTGTAACATCTGTTACTTTAATGCCTTATTGATCACCAGAGTTGATTCACTTGATAAGGCTGACTAGGCATTTATCACTTTCCCCATTTCACTAGTTCATTTATGTCCCTCTTGAAGCTGCACACTCTGCTAAAGAGGATAACCTTCCCCATCTTAGAAGGACTATTCTTCGGTTAGTGGTATATGAGCAACTGTGCTCTCTTGCTAAGATCTCCAAATAGCTCTTAAGAAATAGCTGCCTGATTTATCTCTAGTTGTTAGTTCCTTATATATAGTCTTATTCTTTTTTTTTTTTTTTGTCGGTTGTGGGGCTTGAATTCTGGCAGTGGGCACTGTCCCTCAGCTCTTCAGCTCAAGGCTAACGTTCTACCACTTGAGCCACAGCACCACTTCCGGCCTTTTCTACTTATGTAGTGCTGAGGAATCAAACCCCAGGGCCTCATGCATTTGAGGCAAGCACTCTACCAGTGAGCTACCTTCCCAGACCAGTCTTATTCTTAAGAAAGATCTGTATTTGTGATTTAACTTTGTGTATAAGCTATTCTTAACATAATGGAAAATGAATTCCAAATCTACCATGGTTTCTTTGTTTCTGAAAAATAACTATATTATTGGCAAAAACATGAATTCTAAGATTGGGTAAAAATGGCAAGAGAACACCAAAATCACTTTAATATATTTTTATTATAGGTGAGCCACTTAACTGATTTTCTTGCTTTTAAGAAAAAGAAAAATATCTATCTGTCTGTCTGTCTGTCGTCTGTCTATCTATCTATCTATCTATTTATCTATCTATTTGGTATTGCCTTATCAGTTTCACTTGGAAAATAACTACTTTAGGAATCCAGGTTAAAAAAAAAGCAACAGCTCTAACTTTAGCTGTTATAGCTATAACTATTCAGTTATAATAACCAGTTCATGAATTGGTTCATATGGGTTGAGATTTTCCTTTAGCACAAACCTAAGCATGCTGTATATATTAGCACAGATTTATTTAAAAACAATTTCTAAAATTAAGAATTCATAGGATAAGGTTCCCATGACATCCTATAGCTAAGCTCTCAAGTTAGTACATTTTTCAAACCTCATTTACTTACTGCTTTTATTGTCAGCTTACTGTTTTTATTTTGTAGTAACAAATATTGATATATAGATATTTAAGTTATTTACCCAATGTCTAAATTGTATAATGGTTTATCTAAAATTGTTGATTGCCTAAAAAAAAATTTACGTTCTCATTTAGGATTTCAGAGAGAGAAAATGAAATAATTGGGCTCCAGAATGAGTTAGCGTCCTTGAAGAATGCTGTTGAACACCAGAGAAAGAAAAACAATGTAAGGAAATCTTTATTGGAATGAAACTTTGCATAAGTGGTGAAAGATGAGATGCTAATGAATCTATTTGTACTTTAGATGGTTTAAATCTTTATAAGAAATTACTATTGATTTATTATGTTGGGGAGTACTATTAACTGTTTAATTGATGAGAAGTTCACATTTTATGCTTAGAATATCATGATATTCATTATTAATTTGGAATATCATTTAATTTTGGATGTATTTTATATTTTGAAATATCATATTGTAGTTGTAATTATTGCATTTTAAAAATTCTTTTAAATTAAAAGTGCAGTTGACTTTGTTCAGCTCATACTTGGAAGAATAATTCTTCAAACTTAGCCTTTTAAAATTAGAGGTCTTTCTTATTTAATAAGGTAGCCTTTCTGTAGACTAAAAATAATGCCAATATTCAAACTTAACATGCTCCCTAATCAAATTCTCAAGCCTTCTGAAACTTGCCTTTTAAAACTGAGATTAAGTCTGCTGGAGACCTTAGATTGTTTATTCTTACATTTATACTAAAATAGGAACATTCTCTAGTGCTTTTATTGAATAGATAATAGTAAATATAGATAAATTTGACAAATTCACTTTGCTAGATGATAACCTATAGGTAGAGACTAGCCATTCTTGCTAGAGAAGAAATTTTTGTACACAGTGATTATTAAGTCATAAGCAAGACTAAACATTGTTGAAATCTAAGGGGATATTGATACTAAATGGATATATGGTTTGTAAGGTAAGTTAGATTTTTCTGTGTTTGTGTTAAATTGTTAATTTAACAAATTGGAATTTCCTGTACCCCTGAGTTTGTAAAAATTAGGCATGTGAATTGACCTTAGTGTGTTGTGTAATATTAACAGCATTGCTTGATCAAAAAACTGAGGTGAACTTGCCAATATACTACTAATATTTGTATTTTATTGTTGGGATTCTGAGATAAAGAGTACATGATACACTAGCAGCAGCAGCAGCAGCAGCACTGATGGCCTTGAAGCATGTGGAAAGAGCCAGCAGGGTGCAGTGTCAGTACATTCTAGTTCTGCCACTCATTTGCTCTTCACAGTTGGCCAGATTTTTTTAATCTTCAGCAGTGGTTTCCTTATCTATAAAATGAGTAAATAACTCATAAATTGCAGGGATTAATGAGGATTTATGAATGCCAAGTACTGTATTTGGCACCTAAATATTTAATAAAGTGATTAATGGCTTTGTTTAGATTCCTACTTCTGACATAAGACTGAACTGTAGTAAACTGTTTTTGTGTACATTTGCTAATGAATTGCTGTTAAAATTTAGATCTTTCAGAGCTGTTTTTACAGATGTTTGCTTTTTGTAAAGAGACTGTTTTTTATGGTTTCCCAGCTTTCTCTTTTGCCTCAGTCAACTAGCTTATATTGTTCATGTCAGGTTATTTTGTAGTATACACACCATGCCAAGAAAGAAAGAACACAGTGAGTTACTATATCATTCCTAGATAGATTGGAAATATGTTAATTTTGTTAAAAGAGTTAGAGGAAAAAAATATGGTAGTGTACTATCTCCTAAAAGATGTTGAGCCTTGTTTTAAAATCACATGGAAGTTTTTTGTAGTACTTACATGTTCTTCTGTTCTTACCCTCTACTGTTTGGTATACTTGTAGTCTTGATTTGTGTCTTTATTTTGTATGCTTTTTTCTTTGTCACATGTGCATAGTAATATTTCAAAAGCTGGCGTATTAGGTGTGTATACTAAAAAAATGAAAAGTAGGCCTCTTTTCTCATTCAAATTTCTAAACATTTTTTTATTTTTTGCTAATATACATATTTTCCCATTGAAGTAATTTTGCAGTAACCAGCATTTAAATGCAGTGCAAAAATACTGATGAAATAAAAAGCAAAAATCTTTCAATAATAGATAAACTGAAATCATTCTTTCTAAAAATGATTAGGACCTTCGGGAGAAAAACTGGGAAGCAATGGAAGCATTGGCATCAACTGAAAAATTGCTGCAGGACAAAGTGAACAAGACTTCCAAGGTTGTAATGCTAACTCCTAGAAGCAATCCACTGAACAGAGAAAATCTGCAGCTTCTCTTAAAATCAGACTAAAGCATTGAATTTTACTGCAATTTAAATATAAAATCTCCTTATCATCCACATTTATCATCTCTGTCCTCTATGCTTTTTTCATCTATTCCTTGAGGCTTTAATTTTCAGCATGCTATTTTTTTGTTGGGAATGACCTCATCATTAGATATTCGGTAAACTGGAGAGTCTCAGAAGACTGAGGCTATAAATGCAAGCTTTGTTAGGCAGTGTGCCGATTGGAGTAGTTAAGAGAACTTTGATGAAAACCCTAAAACCTGACTGAATTAGCAAACATATTTACAAACCTGTCATGATTTGTGATGTGTAATGAACTAGGTTTTCTGTGACACACCAAGAAGACTTAGGCAAGGTGGAAAATGATAAAAGTCTTAAGTAGCACAAGAAAGGGATTAGTTCTTAGTGTGTTACTGGGGATAGTTCCTTAGAAGAAGGGGAGTTAACTTGGATTTTTAAGTATGATGCTAGTATCATATTTGGTACGGGATATTAGTGTGAAGTAATATTCTTTAGAAAGAGTACTTCAGTACTCCTGAACTATTCCTTTGTCTTCAAAACAATGAAGGACATTCTCCTTGAGCTTAAGTTGTCTATTGTATATAAAGAATTACAATGGAGAAATCAACTGTAAGAATTATATAATACAAATCTAAGTATTGTAGATGGGCTAATGAAGGGACCTGTATTATTTACTTCAGCATTATGAAAGTATTTTGTGTGGCAAGATAATCTGTTGCAATTTTAAATACAAGTCTTAAGGATATTTGGAAGATTGCTTGGTAGAATGTAGCTTTGTAAACTTTGTTACATTTATATTTGCGGTTTTATTTTCTTTAGTGGATTTATATTTACCTAAAATCTTATTCATCTGTTTAATTTCCACTAAAACTTAAATGAGATAGCTGGTATATAATAGAGAAATTTAGTCAGAGAATAGAAGAATCTAGTTCAGGTAAGATGTTTGCTTCATTATGAGGGATTATGATAGTAATAGTGATTTCTATCAGAAAAGAGGGCTCTACTATGATTTTTGCTTGCCTCTACCTTTGTTTTATCTTAAGTTACCTTTTGCTTTTGTTTTGTTAGACTGGATAGCTAGGAACTACTGATCATATCATTAATACAGAAGTGATAATGCCATCCACCAAAGGCATTTTTGCATATTATTCCTAAAGAAAGCTACAATTTATGTTCATGATGGCTTCTTGCATAGCTGATTATCTACAGAGAATGGCATTTTCTGTTGGAACAGAATGTAGACAGGTTTTACATAGCATAGGGAATAAAGTGATATTGATTGTCCCAGTGCCACAAGTTGTGTTGTAAGAACTAATTAGAAAATTTTAGTGTTTTAGTTGCTAGAAATACAGGTCAATAGACTGAAGTATGACGGAGACTGGAATACTTACTGCCTTTCCAGGGTTATTTATTTTTATTAATTTTTTTCTTTTTGAGACAGGATAAAATACAGCTGTCACTTAAATGAAGATTGTTAAAGGGAAATTATGCCATTCCAATATTAAACTTTTTTTCCAGATATTTAAGTGGAACAGAAATTGCTGTCTACAATCAAACTATTCTTGTCAAATGAAAAATTTTCAGCCAATATTGTTAATAAAGAGTAAAAGTAACTTGTCATCTTTGTGGCTCTGGATTATAAGTTAGAGATGTAATTTTTTTTTCTTTGTAAGTTTTAAGAACATATCTGTTCGCTGTCTTTTTTTATTGCTTTAGCAGTGATCAAAGTTATCTCTTGTTTCTGAAAAAGCAGCTATTTTCTTTGAATGAAAATAATCTACTTTTATTATGTAGTTTATGTATATTCCTAAAGTTGAGCAAACTTTACTGAATCATTGAAAATACCTAAGTAAAACACCTATTCTGAAATATTGCCACTAATCCTTAATAAAGTAACCGCTTTCTGTGTGTATAGGACATGGTAAAAATCTCTAGCTCTGCTGTGTTTAGCTTTAGATTTCCATGTGATTAAATTTTCTGAAATTGAATTGTGTCTATCTGAAGTCAGTAATACATTTCAAAAACATCTGAATGGTATGGGAAAGACATGGCTGAGATGTTGCTAGCTTGCTTGCCTTGTCACTTGTTGAAGTCCCTGGACATTGTTACGAGATGGTTTTATTGGCTTGGTTTAGATGTGCATTTTTAAAAATTGTCTTTTTTTATACTAAAAACCATTTGTAGAGAAATTTAAACATAATTTGGGTGGCAGATGACAGTGGCAATGTGATGAAATTATTACCCTATTTTGACAAACCATTATTTTGAGTGTATAATTGATAGCCATTACAGTTGAATTCATAATCAGCAAATTTAGACTTAAACCATATACAGGTGTCAGAATTAATCTTTTTGATGCTTGATGTTAGTAAAATAATATGACATTAGTTTTTCCTTGTTTTCTTCCATTTCTACCACCCATCAAACTTTGATGGTACTTTTGTGTAGTATAGATTCATCTAACCTTGAATATGGAAATATGTGGTTTACTATTCTTATGACATTATAGTCTATTGATGATGTATTTTTTGATGCAGATTTTTAGAAAATTACCATACATTAGTTAAGAGGACTTAACATACATTAGAGTTTTCATTGTAATACTTTTACTCATTTGATTCTTTTTTAAATTAGAGATTTACTAGCCAGTAAGCCTCAGTTATGTTGCCCAGATATATATTTCTTTGTTAGACAGTTGATATTGTTTTATTGATATTGTAGGAGGTGGAGAGTGTGTGTGTAGGAGGATGCTGGGGGGGAGAGAGAATATAAATGAATGAATTGTTCCTCTAGTGACAAATTACTTGATTTCTGATGCCAAGGAAAATGTCCATATTGTTAGACATTGTTTTGGCTTAATTAATAGTATTATTTTTTAGGATGCTTTAGAGACTTTGCAGATTTTTTTTATGGAAATATTTTTAGTAGTTTAAAATGGGAAAATTGTCATTTGTTAGTATTGAAATAATTTTTCACTGACATTTTCTTCCTCTAGAGGTTAAAATATCGTAGTTTTTTCTTTTATCAATTCTGTAATCTTCTAATTTTTATTTGGTATGTCTTCTGCTTTAGGAAAGTCAACAACATATACAGTCTGTTGAATTGGAGGCTAAAGAAGTTCTCAGAAAATTATTTCCAAAAGTATCTGTGCCTTCTAATTTGGTAAGACTAATTTATTATTAACCTGACATTGTTCAAAAAAGTTGTGAATGCACAGCATTTGCACTTAGTCTGCACTTGGTTTTGATTATATATTGATTCCTTAATCTATCCCATTATTAATCCAGGGTAGTTAGAAATAAAAACTTAGTTCACAGCTCATTTGTATTTATTTACATGAAACTTTTATTCTGTTGAGTAAGATTTCTGAGCTTTATTAACACTATAGTTGGGAAAGCAATTCTGAATTGTCAGTGAAGTCAGTCATATTCTCAATAGCTTTGTTCAATGTAGAACTTAATTTTAAGTGATTACGTCTCAGTTTTAGCAACAATTTATTTCTTATGTATTTGATACTATGAACCAGGCTCTTTACATTTCAGAACTCAAGATTTTGGTCATCTATTAAATTCTTCAAGCAAAAGTCTTGAAGATAATAGAGAACAACTTTCTTTACTTAAGGTTGAACATGTTTTAAGTGGGAAAGAAAAGTGGCTTTGGTTCAGAAAATTAATACAGTAAGTATTTGAGAGCAGAGAAGGCCAGTGAGTGTGCATGTGAGTTTCCCAAAAAGGTGGGGTAGGTCTTTTTCTATTTGAATAGAAAGTTGTATGTTTTCAAAGGTATTGAGACTAGAATACTGAGTCTAGTTCTCCATTCCAGCAATGATAACTACATGCCTTGAATTAATACCATAATCTGTACATAATCTATTTTGTCTCCCATACCACACTGCTCTATATTACTTTGAAGAAATTCAAGCCTCAGAACATTTCATTTGTAAATATTTCAGTATGTTCCTAAAAATAATAATTCCTTTCTTAAAATATTGCTAAAGACATCCTACATTTCATATATTTAGTCAATGTATTCCTCTAGTTACCATAAAAATTTCTTTTGTAATTAAATAATAATTCATAGTTATCTACCCACCTACCCACCCACCCACTCACACAACCTGGGTACTGAGGCTTGAACTCAGGGCCTGGGTGTGCTGTCCATTAACTTTTTCATTAACTTGCATTCTGCCACTTAAGCCACTGCTCTACATCTGGGATTTTGGTAATTAGTTAATTGGAGACAGAGTCTTGTGGATTTGATCTGGCTTTGAACCAAAATGTTCAGATCTCAGCCTCCTGAGTAGCTAAGATTACTTGTGTGAGCCACTTGCACCTGACTTGTTATGTTTTATTTCCCTCAAGACCAGGATATGTTCAACATGTAACTTATGTAAGATGTCTTTTTTTGGGGGGGAGGGGGTCCGGTCATGGGGCCTGAACTCTGGGCCCTGTCCTTCAGCTCTTCAGCTCAAGGCTAGCACTCTACCACTTAAGCCACAGCGCCACTTCCGTTTTTTTTCTTTTTGCTTATGTGGTGCTGAGGAATCGAACCGAGAGCTTCATGCATGCAAAGCAAGCACTCTACCACTGAGCCACCTTCTCAGCCCCGATGTCTTTTTTTTTTTACTCCACTAGTTCCCCTCTGTCTTTGACTCTGTCTCTCTCTTTAAAATTTTTAAATCTAGTGGATTCTCAGTTCCCTAAGTTTAGACTTAGCTGACTATATCCCATCCCAGATGGCAGCATGTTCCTCTGTTCTTTGTTTATCTCATAAATCGATAGGAGAGACTGTCTGGTACAGGGTATTTTGAGATGAGATGGGACATGACTACTTCATGGGCAGTGTTGTCACCTCCAACATGAGGTCTGTAATGTTGCTTTGTCTATCTTTGGCCTGTTGTAGCTTATTTAGACTGGTTGTTGAGTCCTTTTAACATAAAACTACTAACCTTTTATAACTTCTGTGCTTTATGGTGTAACATGATGCTCTTGATTTATTCATTTCCTCCCCAAGTATGGACTTACCTTTTTCTTAAAGGAGCCCTAGCTTCTATAGGTGTGAAAGCTAGAGGTAGTGTAAGTCACCTTAAGCTTGTTCTCTGTGTAGTCTGAGTTTAGGTTCTTTCTGTCTTGGATTACATTTGCATACAGTCTACTTTTAATTCAAGTATGGAACACAAATTCTTCTCTTCATTGTAACTGTTGAAGATACAATCAGGCTTGACCAGTTTTGAAAATTTCTATAGTTGAACTGATGAAATGTCTTGTTTTGAGTAGCCCGGAAAACAGGCTGCTGTAAAAATATTTTATATTTTTTTCTTATATGGTGTGATCCGTTTTAGCTTCTACTGTGTATATTATTAATGGGTTTATTTATTTATTTATTTTTCCCTCTGTGCCTGGAGCTTAAATTCTGGGCTTGGGCACTGCCCTTTAGCTCCTTTTTGCTCAAGGCTAATGCACTACCAGTTGAGCCACAGCACCACTTGCAGCTTTTTCTGATTAATTGGGAGATAAGAGTCTCAAGGCTTTTCCTGCTTGGGCTGGCTTCGAATCATGATCCTCAGATCTCAACCTCCTGAGAAGCTAAGGATTATAGGCATGAGCAACTGGTTAGCTGTATCTTATGAGCCAGCTGAATTAGCCATTGGTAGTTTCTGGTTTTCAAAAATTGTGCAGAGCCAGGCGCCTGTGGCTCACGCCTATAATCCTAGCTACTCAGGAGTTGGAGATGTGAGGATCACGGTTCAAACCAGCCTGGGCAGGAAAGTCTGTGAGACTCTCATCTCAAATAAAACCACTAGAAAACCGGAAGTGGTGCTATGGCTCAAGCAGTAGAGCACTCGCCTTGAGCTGAAGAGTGCAGGGACAGCGCCTAAGCCCAGCCCAGAGTTCAAGCCCCACCACCGACCCTCCCCCCAAAAAATTGTGCAGGTTATGAACAATAAAATATTTCTTTTAATAATACAAATCTCCCCTGACCCTTTTTTGAACTCCTCAGCCTCTCTTTCCTCAGCCTCTTGAGTGCTAAGATTACAAGTGTGTATCACTATCACTTGTGTCCAGGCCAAATCTATTTTTTTTCTTTCTTTGTGGGGAGGAGGTTGATAGTATGCTTGTTAGGCAAGCACTCTATCACACTAGCCATACTGCTATCCTTTTCTGCATTTAGGTTATTTTTCATGTAGAAACTTGCTTTTTTCCTCGGCTGGCTTGTACCTTCTTTCTCTGACTTAACACCTCCCACCATAGCTGAGACACACATGGCCATACTCACCTTTTTTGTTGAGATGTGAGATGTGGTCTTAATCTTGCCTAAGCTGACCTAAACCACAGTCTTGATCTCTGTTGCCCAGAAGCAAATAATAACTATAATATATACATTATTCATGTCAGTTAACCTGTCAGCACAAATATTTGTTGATTTAGGCAAATAATTGTATTCATTTGCCTTATTATTGTGTGGGGTTTTGTTGTTGTTGGTCCTGGTGGTGGTGCTAGTACTGGGCCTTGAACCCCTCAGAGCCTGGACACTGGCACTAAACTTTTTTCACTCAAGGCTGGTGCTTTACCACTTAAGCCACAGTTCTGCTTCCAGCTTTTTGGTAGTTAATTGTAGCTAAGAGTCTTACAGAGCCTGGGCTGGCTTGGGACAGAGATCCTGGGGTCTTAGCTTCCTGAGTAGTTAGGATTATAGGAATGAGCCACCGATGCCTGTTTATTATGATTTTAAATACTTGCATCATACTTTTTAAAGAATTGGTGGTACTGTAGTTTGAACTTGCTTATATACAAGTGTTTTACCCCTTCAGCCACACACTTTTTTGCTTCAGTTATTTTTCAGATAAGGGTTTCCAGCCTTTTGCCCGGGGCCAGTGTTGGATTGTGTTTCTCTTCTCCCTTGTAGCTTAGGTGATAGGTATGCCTTGGTCCTCACAATCTCTGTCTCTGGAATATCATGGATTATACACATGAGCCTCAAGCTATATTCCTTTACTGACTGAAGCATTTTCAGGAATTCTTGGAGCATTTTCAAAGAATTTGAAATTCTCTGAACAGAATGTCTTCAGTTGGATTTTCATTTTTTGAATTTGAAAAACTTAGTTTTAAGGAGAAGTTTTACTTTTAAAAACAATTTTGAAAAAGTATTTATTTTGGCTTTTTTGTCTTTTAAATTTGGCTAATGTAAGTGTTCAAAACTAGGTTTGAGCCCAGGGCCCCTACCCTTGAGTTCAGAATTCATTTGTAAATATTCTTTGTCTAGATAAGTAAGACTTTATTTTGATGGTGTCACATAAGCATGTTTTTAGTATTTATTTTTTATTTTTATTATTGCAAGGTGATATACAGAGGGATTATAGTTACATAAGTCAGATCATGACTACATTTCTTTCTGGACAATTTCACTCCTTCCCTTGCTCAAGTATTCCTCCTCCCCCCCCCCCCCCCCCTTTTTTTTTTTTTTTTTTTTTGCCAGTCCTAGGGCTTGCACTCAGGACCTGGGCACTGTACCTAAGCCTCTGGGTGCTCAAGGCTACCACTCTACCACTTGAACTATAGCTCCTCTTCCAGCTTTTTCTGAGTAGTTTATTGGAGATAAGAGTTTCACAGCCTTTCCTTCCTCCTTAGTAGCTAGGATTACAGGTGTGAACCACCATCTGCCTGTCAGTCTAGTATTTAGTTTTTAGGCTGGATTGCATTCAGTTTATGAAAGTTATATTCTTCAAGTTTTTAAGTGCGATAGTGTTGTTCATGTAAGTTTCTTTTCTAATTTTTTAATATGGTTATTTGAATGTTGATTTGTTTTAGACTTTTGTTTTTTAGAAATTGGTGATTTTGAGTTTTTTTCTGCCCCACAGAGTTACAGTGAATGGTTACATGGATTTGAAAAGAAGGCAAAAGAATGTATAGCTGGAACTTCAGGTTCAGAGGAGTTTAAGGTTAGTTCAAGAAGTCAACTGTCTATATTTTAACCAATTTGAATTGTGAGCTTTGGAATGGTAATGGATATATTATTAGTAGGCTAATGATGTTTTGAAGAAAGTATACGAAGCTTGTTTCATTTTACGTAGATTTTAGCAATAATGCTATAGGTCTTCTGACATGTGATATGTGTATAAAGCTAATATTTCCCTTTCTCTAAATTTGTGTCTTTTAATCATTTAATATTTTAATTATCCTGCTTTTAACCTAAGTTTAAAGTAAAAATCAATTGTAGATAGAATCTCACTCATTTAAATAGTACTGTCAGTAAACAATAAATGATCAAAATTGACTTCATTATTACTTGGAAAGGTTGAAATTTAATGTTTTGTTATAAATAATTTGAAGTTATAATGCATCATTAAGTGATGAAACATTTAAAGCACAAAAAAACTCGTAAAAATTAGAGAATTTTTCTTTATTTCATTTTCAGGTTCTAGAGCACAAATTGAAAGAAGCAGACGAAATGCATACATTGTTACAGCTAGAATGTGAAAAATATAAATCCGTCCTTGCAGAAACAGTAGGAAATATTTTTAATCTACATCTTTATTTTTAAATTAGCAACTTATTCCTTTTTGTCCCAAGTAGTTTTTTTGGCATTAGAATGTGAATTTCTCAAAACAGCTATTCTTTCATCTGTAGGAAGGAATTTTACAGAAGCTGCAAAGAAGTGTTGAACAAGAAGAAAATAAATGGAAGGTGAAGGTTGATGAATCACAGGAGACTATTAAGCAGGTATTTTGTGAAGTGCTTATAGCACCTCTCAAATGTGAGGCCTGGGCCAGCAGAATCAGTGTCACCTAGGAATGTATGAGGTATACCCCAGACTTACTGATTTGAAACATATCGGCCATCTGTGGTTCAGTGCTCCTTCCAGGTATTTTGATGCCCATCACATTTGAAAATCATTAGTTTAGAGCTGGGTGCCAATGGCACATGCCTGTAATCCTAGCATCTCAGGAAGCTGAGATCTGAGGATCAAGGTTTGAAGCCAGCCATAGCAGGAAAATTCCATGAAACTCTTACCTCCAGTTAACCACTAAAAAGCCAGAAGTGGTGCTGTGGCTCAAGGAGTAGAATGCTATCTTTGAGCCAGAAAGCTCAGGTACAGCATCCAGGCCCTGAGTTCAAGCCTCAGGATCAACACAAAAAGAAATCATAGCTTTTAAAGTATATCCAAAAAGCAATGATGGAGAATCTGAAGGACTTTGAAAATTATAGAACTGCTGTGTGATAATGCAAGGTGGAACATTCTGTCATAGTTTTAAAGTACTGCTATTTGGTCCATGATACGTAGTCAAGAAAAATTACCATTCACTTTGATTTTTCTTCTCATTTATGTGGGTGAGGTAGTGTTACCTGTTACTTACTAGGCTACTGTGTATAGGCTATATGTCACTAATGATACTCTGTTAGTTTAGGTTTTTTTTTGGGGGGGGGGCCCAGTTGTGGGGCCTAAACTCTGGGCCTGGGCACTGTCCCTCAGCTCTTAAGCTCAAGGCTAGCGCTCTACCACTTGAGCCACAGCGCTACTTCTGGCTTTTTTTCTTTTTGCTTATGTGGTGCTGAGGAATCGAACCCAGGGCCTCAGGCATGCAAGGCAAGCGCTCAACCACTGAGCCACCTTCCCAGCCCATGATACTCTGTTGGTGTATTTAGGAATAAATATAGCTGATGCCTAGTTAATTGTTAATAAAGAGTTGGATATGATAGCACGTGCTGAATCTCAGGTACTTGGGAATCAAAAATGGGAGGACCAAGGTTCAAGGCCAGTCTGAACAAAAGTTAGACCTTATCTCAAAAACAAGCTGGTCTTAGTGGCTTATAGGTGTTACTTCAGCTACTCAGGAGGCAGAGATGGGCTGATTGCATAGTCTATGGGTGGCCTGTGGAAAAGTGCAATACTGTTTGAAAACTAAAACACAAAAGGACTGGGGGAATGACTGAAGTGATAGAGTGCTTGCCTAGTAAGTGCCAACTCTTGAGTTTAGTCTCAAGTACTATCCAAAAGGAAAAGAAAAAATTGAACTTTTTAAAAATTTGCTGGTCTTGGGGCTTGAACTCTGGGCCTGGGCTCTGTCTTTGAGCTTCTATTGCTCAAGGCTAGCACTCTTACTGCTTGAGTCACAATGCCACTTTCAACTTTTTCTGAGTAGTTTATTAGACATAAGAGTCTCACAGACTTTCCTGCCCAAGCTGGCTTTGAACTGCGATCTCCTCATAGCTCAGCCTTCTGAGTAGCTAGGATTATAGGTGTGAGCAACCGGCATCTACCTTTAAAACAAGCACAAAAAACAAACTTTTATCTAGACCTATTACAGTATCATACAAATGGAATAGGTTTTGACCACAATGGAGATCAAGTTATATGTTACTCATTTAATTTTAAAGTCTTTAAAAATACATGAATTCAAAAGGTGAAGATCAAAATGTTTTACATTGATTCAGAATTTCTCAGAAATATCTGCATCTTTGGTGGTTTACTTGTTCATACATTGTTTCACATTTCAGATGCAGTCATCATTCACATCTTCAGAGCAAGAGCTAGAGCGATTAAGAAGAGAAAATAAGGATATTGAAAATGTATGTTATTTGATTATTTAGTTTGTAACCTGTAAACTTAGTAAAATGGATTCCCTAAAGATCTGTGTTTAGAGATTGTTTATCTAATGTTAGTTACACTTTTAATATGTCGAATAATGTTGCATTGATATAGTTTTGTGTTTAAGTATCTTAACTTTCTTTTATAGAGAAACAGTGAAAGAAAATCTTTAACATGGGCTGGGAAGGTGACTCAGTGGTAGAGCGCTTGCCTTGCATGCATGAGGCCCTGGGTTCAATTCCTCAGCACCACATAAGCAAAAAGAAAAAAGCCAGAAGTGTCGCTGTGGCTCAAGTGGTAGAGTGCTACCTTAAGCTGAAGAGCTGAGGGACAGCGCCCAGGCTCAGAGTTCAGGCCCCACGACTGGACCTCCCCCCAAAAAAGAAAATATTTAACATGTTAATATTTCCTTTGTTGTATTGATAGCTGAGAAGAGAACGAGAGCATTTGGAAATGGAACTAGAGAAGGCAGAAATTGAACGATCTACCTATGTTTCAGAAGTCAGAGAGGTACTTAAAACCATTTTTTCATACTTGCTCCTCAGTTCAAACTAAGTTTTTAGTAGAGTGATAAAATATTTGAAGTAAGTTGTTTTTGGAAGAGCTTCCAAGTACCATACAAAAGATGGGATATCATAAGGAGATCATTCTTAAACTCTAACTTCATTGCAGCTGAAAGATCTGTTGACTGAATTGCAGAAAAAACTTGATGATTCATATTCTGAAGCAGTAAGACAGAATGAAGAGCTTAATTTGGTAAGAAGCTTGTTCTCCACTGGGTATCCATCCAGTAGGCTTTGAAAACACTGGGGTTGACATGTGGAGAAACCATCCAAACTTTTTTTCTTTGCTAACCGTCTTTAGCTTGGCATTTTTGTAAGTTTAAGATAATCTTTATATTCTAATGACTTCTAAAATGGCCTTTTTTTTCTTGACTCCTAAGGTGATTCTTCTTTTCTTAGCTCTTAACAACAGCATGTTTGACTTCCAACTATTTTTCAGAGTTTTCTGCTTTTTATATGGTCTTAATTTCTTAAGCATTATTATTTTCAGTGAATAAAAAAACAAAACAATAGATTGACCTATTTGTAAAGATTCTCTTCAAATTTGTGATAGTTAACTAGGCCTATTCTGTTCTAACCTGGGAGAAGATAACTGAAGGTTATAGATAACATACTCTTCATTTAAGAGCTATTAGCCCCTCCAGCTTCTTTTTTTTGTGTATGTGCCAGTCCTGAGCATTTTCCACTTAAGGCTAGTACTCTACATCATGAACCACAGCTCCACTTGTGGTATTTTGGTGGTTAATTGGAGATACAGTCTCACTGACTTTCCTGCCTGGGCTGGCTTTGAACTACAGTCCTCAGATGTCAGCCTCTTGAGAAACTATGATTACAGATGTGAGCCACAAGCACCTGGCTTCAGCTTTTTAACTGTCTTTATTTTTAATTTTTAAAATTATTATTTTTGGTCAGTTGTGGGGCTTGAACTAGGCTTGGGTGCTGTCCCTCAGCTCTTCAGCTCAAGGCGAGCATTCTACCGATTGAGCTATAGCACCACTTCCGGTTTTCTGGTGGTTTATTGGAGATAAACGGACTTTCTTGCTCCAGCTGGCTTTGAACCACGATCCTCAGATCTCAGCCTCCTGACTAGGATTACAGGCATGAGCCACCAGTGCCTGGCTTTTAACTGTCTTTATATATATTGTAAATGACAAAAATTTTGTAAAATTCTTTTTCAGCATATTGCTTAGCATATAATAATCCCCAAAGTATACAAAGAAACCTAGTTAACTAAATGTTTAAAGATGTTTAGTTTTCTACATTCCAATCAGTATAAATTTCTGAAAAAATTTAAGGATTAAAATGTTCCCATTTCATGCAATAGTCATCTCATTCCTGACAAAATTTTTACAGCATGGATTTTGATGTTTTCAAAAATTTCTGAACATATTTTAGGAATATTACAGCAAGCTTTTCCTTATACCACATTAATTCTATATAGATTGAAATTGTCTCATTAGTACTCTTACGTTTACCATAGAAAATACATTAATTTGTGGTGTTTTTGTGTTTTAGCACTTGTTTGCAAGAATCAATTTTTAAAAACACTCAGTCTACATATGTATTTCTACACACTTAAAAAATTCTTTACCAGTGCTTCAAAATACTCCCATTGTAACATAAGAGTAGTTTCTTTGTTTTTTTTTTTGTTTCTGTCAGTCATGGGGCTTGAACTCAGGGCCTGGCAACTGTCCTTAAGCTCTTTTGCTCTAGGCCAGTGCTTTACTACTTTGAACCACAGTGCCACTTTTCAGTTTTTGAGTAGTTAATTAGAGATGAGACTCTCATGGGGACTTTTCTGCCTGGGCTGGCTTCAAACCGCCATCCTCAGATCTCAGTCTTCTGAATAGCTAGGGTTAGAGACATGAGCCACTGATGCCCAGCCGTAACATGAGTAGACTGGGACTGTGATATGCTATAGTCCTTACCCTGTAGGTTTTTTTTCTTTTCTTTTCTTGAGAGACAAGTTCTTATCATATGCCAGGCTGCCCTTCAATTCACAATTTTTTCCTTATACTGGGATTACAGATATGTGCCACCATGCCCAGCTTTAAAAAAAATAACTTCTAGCTAGTTGTTGGAAGTTTGTTTGTTTTTTTTTAATTTGGCTGCTCAGAGGTAGACTGAACAGTTTCACCGAACCTGTAAAATTGTAGTTACATCTCCATTTAGCACAAATTCAAGATGTTCTTGAATTCTGGCTCCTTTATTTTTGTCCAGAGATGAGTGTGCACATGTGCCATGTGGGCCAGTACTGGAGCCTAAACTCAGGACTTGTGCCCTTGTTTTTTTTTTTTTTCTACTCAATGTCAGCACTTTACGACTTGAGCCATATACCTCTACCTCCACTCCATTTTAATGAATATATCTTTTTCTCCCTTAGTCTTGAATTTGTGATTGTTATTTTATGTTGTTTGCCTGTACATTGTGTGTTCTTTGGGTAAACTTGAGTTAGCTAAAGAAGCAAAAACTATTTAAGAATAGTTCCCAGGGCTAGGAAGGTGGCTTAGTGGTAGACTGCTTGCCTAGCATGCTTAAAGCCTTGTGTTCAATTCCTCAATTCCACCTAAATAGAAAAAGCTGGAAGTGGTGCTATGGTTCAAGTGGTAAGAGTACTAGCCTTGAGCAAAAGAAGCTCAGGGACAGTACCTAGGCTCTGAGATAAAGCCCCAGAACTGGCCAAAAAAAGTAAAAAAAGAATAGCTCCCAAATAAAATTTCCAAATATGGGATTCCCCACTCTCCTCCTGCCTCTATGAGTTCTCTGTCAGATTTTAAATGTCAGTGTCTCATGTTTTTCCCCTTTTAAGGCTCAAAAAGTGTTTGGGAACTCATGTCTGAGTGAGAGACATAAACAACAAAAACTTGATGAATTAGTAAAAGACTTGTGGGCAACATAATCTTTCTTATATTTCCTTGAAACAGTTGTCAGAAAAAGGCCTTATATATCAGCACTAAGTTTTTGTAACTGTTTTAATAATTAGTTGGTTGTTTTGAGAAGTGTATATCAAGCCCTTATTAGTGTAATTTAGGCCAGTGGTCATGCACTGCTCTCTTTAGTGAAGTCATCACAGACTGGTAAACGTTTAAGTTGTTCCTTTTACTGGATTTATAATTGTCTTTTCATTGTCTTTTAAAGTATTATGTAGTTGACACTTTAATTGAACTGTGTAGATTAAGAAAGACTTCAATTTGTTAGAATTTGTATTTCTTTCTTACTTTGGGATTTTGGTAGCACATTATGAATAGTGATTCTTAAAAAGTAATTTAGAGTTTGGTGGCTTTGTTTTCGCAATTGCAGTTTCCTACTCTTAAGCTCTGGTTCATATCTAGTTCTTTTTATGTTTAGCTCTACAGATGGGAACTTCCATTGCATAGCTTTTCTGTACATCTGGTGTAACATTAGGTAATTCCACTGTGCATAATAACTGTTAATTATTCTATTCTTTCATATTCACTTTTCAGTCCTAGAGATATCAGTATAATCAAAGAAAGTTGAAAATTAATTGTGCTGCTGCTTTATTTTTACAGCTGAAGACACAGTTAAATGAAACACATTCAAAACTTAGAACTGAACAAAGTGAAAGACAGAGGGTAGCTGGTGATTTACATAAGGTAAGGCACTTTTACCTGGAGAAACAATATTCTGAGCCAATATTGTGACTTGTGTCTTAAGCAAACACCTGTTAATTTTTGTCTTTTTTTAATATATATTTTTTATTGTAAAGATACTGTACAAAGGGGTTACAGTTACATGAGTAAATTCTTGTCTTGCTCTTCATTCATAAAAATTTGTTTAGATTCAGTTACTTTTTGTTTAGATTCAGTAACTTTTTAGGAGTTACATTTTGACTTATTTCTCCATTCTTAATTTACTTCCTTTCATCACATTTATGCAGTTATTGTGTAAAATGTATAAATTTTTTTAATTTAATTAGAGTTATTTAAATTTGAATATATTCATATTTTTAAAAATTGGAATTCAACTATGGAATCATTTACAAAGTATGTTCTATATTGATACTTACAGGTAAAACTGAAGTATAAATTTCTGGTGTTTTGATAAGTTTTTTCCTTTTTTATACAAATGTATTTTTAAAATATATACTAGTGGATTGTTTTTAGGATTATATTTCCTCTTTGCATTAGGTTAATAGGTTTTTTTGTAGTTCTTTTGTGTTTATGAAATCTCATTAAAATAATTACGTGGCCTTGAGATATGTACATCTTAACACTTGAAAGTTATAAACGAATCCTCACTATCCATTAGTCATTCCTAGCATGGTCTGAGAATACCTGTTTTCTTGTACTTCTATAAAACTGGATAGTGTAAAACATTTTAAGTATTTATTATTCTAGCTAATTAAAGTATTTGATTTTTTAAAGTATCCTTTAAAATATGAGAAAAATTTCTATTCTATTTGTTCATATTTTGTGATTGTCATATACAAAAGCGTAGGGTTCCCAAACAGCTTCACATTACTTAAGTGCAGGTTAATGGTGCTGAGTGTGGGAGAACCACCTGTGATACCAGCTCAATAGGCAGAATAAGGGTATGACAGGAGCCTGGCCCTAGGAACAAAACCTGAGACTGAGTGTGAAAAATAGCTAAAACCAAAGAAGGACTGTGGGCATGCCTCAAAACCTGGGTACTGCCTTCCACCACCCAAAAAACAGATGCATGAACTTAAAGTATTTGTTTTAGAGCACCAACTTTGATATCTGATATACTGAGAATTTTAACTTAGACATTTGATATATCATTCTAATTTTTTACCTCTGGCTTAAAATAGAAACTATGAAGGTACTATGAAAGTACTTTAAGGTAATAAACAGATGCTGAAGGGTATAGATAGGTCATGTTATGTAAGGTAGGCATCAGTCACCTGCTTCTGCAATATCACTACTGTGCAGTTGTCAGTTGGATATGAAAATAAATATGTATTGACCAAATGAACAAAATACTTAATAAAGCAACAAGTATAAAACATGTATGTTTAGAGGCCATGGATAAAAATTTCAGCAGTTTTCTCAGAGCACTTAAGCACAGAGGGATTTAGATTTTTTTTTTTTTTTGGGTTGGTCGTGTGGGGCTTGAACTCTGGGCATGGGTGCTGTCCCTCAGCTCTTCAGCTCAAGGCAAGCACTTTACCGCTTGAGCCACAGCGCCCCTCCCAGTTTTCTAGTGGTTTGATGGAGTTTCCTGTCAGGGCTGGCTTGGAACCACAATCTACAAATCTCAGTCTCTGAGTAGCCAAGATTACTTTTGTCCATTTCAGGCCACTCTGAATATGAAGCTAATCCACAGGACGTCCACAGGACGTAGACAGATGAAGTAAAATCATACGTGTTATTAGAGATTTATAGGAGATAAGAGTCTCAAGGACTTTCCTGCCTGGGCTGGCTTTGAACTTCGATCCTCAGATCTCAGCCTCCTGAGTAGCTAGGATTACAGGTGTGAGCCACTGGCACCCGGCAGGATTTAGATTTTAAATCAGCAAATGCATAGGCTATTTTAGGATTTGTTGTTGCATATGATGTCTCTAAAATATTCATATTTCTTTTTTTTTGCATTTCTTTTTAAGCAATGTTTTGAAATTAAAATGCATAACCACTCTTAGTTATGAGCTGTACAAACACAGTTTTGTGTTTTCTTAGAAAGGGGGTGGTTGGTGTAGCATGGGGATGCCATACTAGATTTGAACTCATTATGTAGTCCTGGCTGCCTCAGATTGCCTATGCTGTTTCTGCTCTCTTGAGTACTGGGATTTACTGGTGAATGACACCCAGCTTTATGTTTCAACTTGTGGAACAATGAACATGTTTTCTTAAAATCTGGTGGTAAAGTATATGTATTTTCATTTTGCTTGTAAAATTTCACATTGTAAGTTTGGAGGAGCTTTAATTTCTTACAAAATATATAACAAAATCACTCATTCTGTATGTATTTACTTATTAGTGGTTGTGTTGCTTTTCTTATAGGCTCAACAGTCTCTAGATCTTATCCAGTCAAAAATAGAAAAAGCTGCTGGAGACACTACTGTTATTAATAATAGTGATGTTCCCCCAGATTCGGTACGTGTTTTCTTTACCTCCAAATATTTGTGCTAATTACCTTGTAAAACTCCTTGAAGAATAAGCAGTGAAAGAGTCTGACTAGAAAAATATGCTTCCATCAGTTACGTGACACTTTTTGTTGTGGTTATTTGCTTTTTTCGCAGTTAGGAATGGAAACCAGGTCTAAAACATGTCAGGCAAGCACTGTGTGCTATTCCACCCAGCCCCCTAATTGAAAGTCATCTTTTCAAAATAGCCGGTGTCTTAAGTGCACTATTTTTATTATGTCTGTTTTTAGATGGAATTTGTGAGATTCTGTGTTAACTTTTTTTTTTTTTTTGGGTCCGGTCGTGGGGCCTGAACTCTGGGCCTGGGCGCTGTCCCTCAGCTCTTCAGCTCAAGGCTAGTGCTCTACCACTTGAGCCACAGCGCCACTTCCGGCTTTTTTCTTTTTGCTTATGTGGTGCTGAGGAATCGAACTCAGGGCCTCAGGCATGCAAGACAAGCGCTCTACCACTGAGCCACCTTCCCAGCCCCCTCTATGTTAATTTTAAGATATTTCTGGAGAGGTATTATGGTATAATGCTTAAGAGTGTAGGCCATATACAGTTCCTCAGTACTCAAAAGATGTATAGAAAGGCCATGTTATTTATAATTGCTGAAATGGCACTGATAGGCATCTTTCATCTGGCTCTACAGTAGAAATAGTGTGAAACACTCAAATGAAATGTGTGTTAGTATTGTTGGCGGTGAACGTTTAAATGTTGTCCCTGTCTTAGTCACATGTGACTTGTAGCAAATCCTTCAGTCACCAAATTTAGTTGCCTCATCTATAAAAGGCACTACTAATAGGACATATTTTATAGGGTTGTTGGAAGAAATAAAATGAGTGAATATCTAAAATACCTTAAATAGAGGATAGAGCTCAATATATGATAACTGTGACTTCTTACTGTTTATGCATGTTGTTTCCATTTATTTCTGATATTCATAAAATCTAGTTTTTCCTTTGTAGCCAAGTGGCATTTCCTGCAATGTACATTTTCTTTGGTGCTAGTTACTTTTTATCAATATTTAGCAAACATTTTTGTGTAGTTTTTTTCTGTTATGTCATATTTCAGATTTTTCATATTTGTATTTGAAACAAAAGTATTTCCTGTTTTTTGGTTGCATACTCTTTTTTTCTTTTCTTTGGAGGTATTTAAAGAAAAGTTTTAAGTTTTAATCCTTTTTTTTTTCAGGAGTCTTCTGAGAAGGAAACAATGTTTTTAAGTCTTAATCAAACTCTAACACAGTTACGGCAGTTGCTTCAGAAAGTAAACCAACAGCTCATAAAGGAGGAATAACAACACTTACCAGGTCTTGGGTAAGAACAACTGGAATATTGCTATTTATGGCTAATTGACTTAGGGAAGGAGGAAGGATGTGCCTGTAATGTACACAGGCACGGTGTAGGAATCTCTCATTCTTTATTCTTAGAACTTTGAGATGACAGCTTTTACTTTTCTATCTTGCCTATAATTTGAAGGTCTTCTAATGTGGAAGTGGAAAGCTTTTCTCTGCCTGTTTTGACTTTTTTAAAATCATGCCTTCTTATGATTTGGCTACTTGGTTTGTCCATTATTACTATGCTGACAATTATTTTGTCATTTTATTCTGATCTTAGGTCAGTGCATGTGTTTGTATGGTATTTCCTCCTTGCCCTCTCTTTAGGACTTGGTAATAAATAAAGTGACCATATCATTTTTAACTGATACAGGATTGCAGAACTGAAAATGAAGTTACTACAGTTTTTTAAAGTATGATAAAGAATGCACAGCATTTATTACATCTCTAAGGCAAGGGAATATTAATATTTCTTTAAAGAAAGCTGTATTTTGTTGTGGTTCTGTCTGGTTTTGAGACTAGGTGCTGCTATGCAGCTCAGGCTGGTGATCTTACCTTAGCCTCCTCAGTGCTAGAATCATAGGTGTAAGACTGGAAACTCTGTTTTTCATAATCTAAGCATTCCTCACTCTCTGGCTTGACTTTGCTGCTCATGGCCTTCACCCTGCCACTTGAGTCACCCTTCCTCTTTCAGCTTTTTGCTGGATTTGTCTAACTGGGGTAGTTTGAACTAGAATCCTAAGATCTCAGCCTCTTAACGAGAATGAGCCTGACTAAGAATTCCATTCTTCGATGTTGAAATGAATGTTTTAAATGAGGATAAATAAATCCATTATTAACTAAAGTATATTATAAACTTGGATTGTCTATGTTACCTTGAAAAGCCTAGCTTTATTAGCATTTTAAGCTAAAAAAATTTAAATGTTGCTGGCATCACTCAGATGTAGAGAACCTGCCTAGCAAATCCCCCCCCCCCCCCAAAAAAAAATAAATAAAGAGACTTGCTGTATTGTAGGTGGTAAATGCAGATTTTTATTGTTGTTGTCTGGGTTTTATGGTCTCTGAATGAATTATATCATACTACCAATGGTACAATGTTCAAATATAGACTTAGACTAAGTATTTCAGATAATCTTTTTCCTTAGCACTGAAAGTTTTTTTTTAATTGCTCTCTCTCTCTCTCTCTCTCTCTCTCTCTCTCCTCTCTCTCTCTCCTCTCTCTCTCTCTCTCTCTCTCTCTCTCTCTCTCATCTTGAGGCTTGAACTCAGGGTCTGAGAGCTGTCCCTAAAGCAAAAGTCCTTGCTTTGTGTTCATGGATAGGCTAGTGCTCTACTACTTGAGCTTCAGTGCTATTTCTAGCTTTTTCTGAGTAGTTTTATTGGAGATTAGATTCTCACAGACTTTCCTGCCAAAGCTGGCTTTAAGCTACACCTCAGATCTCAGTTTCCTGAGTAGAGCTAGGATTACAGGTATGAGCTACCTGGTGCCTGGCTTCACATGTTAAAATATATATCTAAAACCTCTTTTTGAATCCTGCAGGTATGTTCTTGTTTTGATGAACAAAGTATGAATTGTTTTAAGCCTCATTGAAAGTGTCATGCCAGATCAAATGGAGTATTCTGATTGCCTTTCTTGCTTTATTTTAAAAATAATTTTATGATTTTTTTTCTTACAGAGTGAAGTTATTTGAAAACTGTTCAAGGATAACTGAAGGCATTGTATTATATTTTGCCAAATTAAAGCCTTATTTATGTTTTCACCCTTTCTACTTTGTCAGAAACACTGAACAGGTTTTGTCTTTTCTAATCCTTGTTAGACTACTGATTTAAAGAGGAAAAAAAAACCTAAAAAAAAGTCAACTCTGTAGACACCTTCAGAGTTTAGTTTTATAATAAAACTGTTTGAATAATTAGACCTTTACATTCCTAAAGAAAAATAAACATGTAAACTTTACATTATTTTACTCAATGAAATTGTTGAGAAGATCAAAGTGGTCAAAACAACATAAAATTTAACATTTTAATACTGATATTGTACACTGTTTTACTTAATACTTTGGGTAGTAACTGCCTCCGACATCAAGGAAAACACTTTTGTTGCTAATGAAATCAGTTTTTGTAATGGCAGTCAACAAATAAAGGGACACTTATTATTCAAACTTGACTTCTAATTTTCATTGAAGTTTAACAGATTTCATTAGCACTACAGATCAGCACAACTGAACACAATTATTAGTTGCAACCGTTGAACAAGGTAAGGAGGTCTTGTTGCTTACATAAACCTTGCTGATTGGAGCTTTGGGTCTTCTCTAATTGTCTTCTAAGTTTTGCCCCAGTGTGCTGTGGATTACAGAAAGGATAAGGCAGGAACTTAGGGGCTGACTTACCACTCCACTTCTGAGAGAGGAGCTCTATTTTATTTTTACTATTACTAATGATTTTTAAAATAATAAAATTAATTTTTGAGATTCCTCTTTTCAGATACTGCATTAAATAGTTTATATGCTACCTTTTTATTTAAAAAAAAAACTTAAAAAATAGCTGGGTAGTCAGTATTGGCACATACCTATAATCAGCAATTCAGGAGATGGATTTAGGATAATTATGGTTTGAGGCCAGCTCAGGCAGAAAGTTAGACTAACCCTATCTCAGTCAATAAGCTGTGTGTAGTGGGGTACCTTTGTGTTGCCAGGTACCACCAGACTAATAGGTTGGAATACTAGCCAGCCCATGGCTATCTGAAATAAACCAAAAACAAAAACAACTAAAGATGTAGCTCAAGTGGTAGAATGCTTGTCTAGTAAGCCGGGGCTCTGGTGGTTTATGCCTGTAATCCTAGCTACTCAGGAGGCTGAGATCTGAGGATCGCGGTTCAAAGCCAGCCTGGGCAGGAAACTCTGAAACTCTTCTCTCCAGTAAACCACCAGAAAACTGGAAGTGGCACACTAGCTCAAGTGGTAGAGCACTAGCCTTGAGCTGAAGAGCTGAGGGACAGCACTCAGGCCCAGAGTTCAAGCCTCATGACTGACAAAAAAAAAAAAAAATCTATAGTAACACCAATGATTGGGGCAGAAAGGTTAAAAAATGTTTTGAAAGCCTTGCTCTCTTTAGGTGTCAATTCCATTGACAGTTACACCATGGAGTATTAATAGCTACCTTTTTGAGCCTAGCACAGCGGCTCCTTGGGAGGCCAGTATCAGGAGGATCAGTGTTCAGAACCAGCCAGGGCAAAATGTTGCAAGGCCCCATCTCAGTCAGTAAGTTGCTGTGCTTGTTTGTCATCCTAACTTCAAGGGATGGTGGTACGAGGATTGTGGCCCAGGACAGCCTGGGCAAAAACTGAGACACCCTATGCAAACAGCAGTCAAAACAAAACAAGAAGGGTGGGACTCAAGTGGTCGGGTGCCTGCCTTGTAAACTACGAAACCTTAATTTCAAACTCCAGCAACCCACCCATGCCCCCATAAAAGAACGTTCCTTTTTTTTTTTTTTTTGGTCCGGTCGTGGGGCCTGAACTCTGGGCCTGGGCGCTGTCCCTCAGCTCTTCAGCTCAAGGCTAGCACTCTACCACTTGAGCCACAGCGCCACTTCCGGCTTTTTACTTTTTGCTTATGTGGTGCTGAGGAATCGAACCCAGGGCCTCGAGCATGCAAGGCAAGCGCTCTACCACTGAGCCACCTTCCCAGCCCAAAGAACATTCTTTTTAAAGTGTTTCTTGAACAGAGCAGTCATGCTTCTCCCACATGACTGTAGCACTGTCTCTTTTAAATGTCAGTTTGGGCCTGCTCCTTCACCATTTTGCCATCTACCTTAATGTCATTTTTTGGTGAGATCTTTGCTGACAATATTATCTCCCTGGTTCTTGTAATTTTGCTTAATTTTGTCTGTAACACAGCTTTCTACTTGATTGCTTCCCAACCTAAGTGGTACCTCCTAACCTTTTCTCCTTGCAGTGCATACTAAATACTGTTTTTAAAGTATGCATCGATAACCTGAAGGATGTTTGTAGTCAAGTTATGCACTGGCTTGTAGATTTAGGCTGTGTCAGCCTTAGCTTGCTGCTTGTAGCAAGCCATCTGAACTGTAAGCTAGATGGATTTCTCCATTCTTTGTCTTCTCCCTGTGTAAGAGTTCATGTCTGCCACCTGAGACAAGTTCTGCCCTTGATCATAACCTCTTCTTGCTCCTCTCTCTCATTTTAGATCTGATCACAGAAGAATTGTGTAATTGTGCAATTCTTTGACCACTGTATGATTAATTAAAAAGAAAGCCACAACATTTAAGGAACTTTAGGATCACAGTTTAGTGTCCTGTTGGTTTGGGACCCTCCCTAAACATCCCAGCCCTACACACAGAGCTTTTCCCTCTGAAGTAGCAGGAAGTTCTGGGGAAAGTGAAATTGTGGCATGTGCTCAGCTTACTACAGTGTTGAATTCTACCAAAATAAGCCTAGAAAATGTGTCAGTCAGTGATCTTCTTGATATTTCCTCTTGCAAGTTAAGCTGGGTGCTGGTAACTCATGCCTATAATCATAGCTGCCCAGGAAGCTGAGAACTGAGGTTTGAAGCTAGTCCAGACAGACAAATCCAGAGACTCCTATATCCAATTACCAGTGAAATGCCAGAAGTGGAGGTCCTGTGGTAAGAATGGCAGCCTTGAGTGGAAAAGCTAGTAAGCAAAAGTATAAGGCTCTGAGTTCAAGCCCCAGTACTAGCAAAAGCAAAGACAAAAAGTTAATTTCAAGCTTTTTTCCTCTTTGGTGAATTTCTTTATTACCATCCCTATCCCCCATCAGTCTAAATATGCATTAATGTGCTTTTCCATTTGATTAGTGTTATAATTTTTATGTCACTGAAGAAAAATTAATTGGAATAAGATGAGACAAGCAAAAGTTTTCCTCACTTTTTTCTTTTTCTTTTTTGTTGGTCATGGGGCTTGAACTCTGGGCCTGGGCACTATCCCTGAGCTCTTCAGCTCAAGGCTAGCATTCTACCACTTGAGCCACAGCACCACTTCCAATTTTCTGAGTGGGTTATTGAAGATGAGTCTCATGGACTTTCCTGCCTGGGCTGGCTTTGAACCATGATCCTTAGATCTCAGCTTCCTGAGTAGCTAGGATTACAGGTATGAGCCACCAGTGCCTGGCTTCCTCACTTTTGATACCAGTTATGTAGTACATTGTGTATACATTGTGTGAGGACTATAAAGTCCAGAGAAAAGGTTCTTACGTCTTGGCCTTAATGTTAAGGTACAATATATATACATGGTCTTCTGTAGAACAGCTAAGCATATCTTAGAGGAAGCAAAACTGATCTTGATAACTTTTTGTTCTGAATAAACTAGTGTCTTGTTTATTAAACCTACCCTTCATAGAGAATACAAAACTTGCTTTTATGTGATGAACACCTGGTTTTAATATTACAAGTAACCTTGTTAGACAACTGGCTCTATCACTGCTCTGCTGGCAACTCTCAGAACAGCTTAGAACTCAAGCAGGACTTAGAATACAAACTTAGAATGTATCATTCAACTTTTCACCAAATGGCCTATAGAACATAATTATTTGGGAACATTTTATTCATTATGGCAGAAATAATGGTGGTCATAATTATAAATATGGAGTGCTCCTTCAGGTACCATGCTAAATGTATTAAATGCAAGGTTTTTGAAAGTTATCTCCAAGGTACTCTTTGAACACATTTTTTGGAGTCTTTATAAAGCAAAGTGCCTAAGTTGAACATTTGGTAGTAACTTATTTTAACTATATATTGCATTATATGCATACTGTATACTACAATTGGCTTATGCACTCAACTGTGGATTAATATCTGAGTTGTTTGCAGTTTTTGACTATTACAAATAAAGCTGATATATTTGTGTGCAAGACTTGTGCATAATTCTAAAATATCAAACATAGTTAAATATTAGAAGGTGACCATCAGCTCACAAATCATCCATTAAACAGAACTACTCCCACAGTTAAGACACAGATCTGAAGGATTCTGGGGTAATCATTTGACACTGATTGGGAGGGGGAGGAAGGAAGGGCACTGACTCCTTGCATTGCCCATCATCATGCCTTTTGGAAGTCATTCTGTGGCTCATGCTCTAGCTCCCTCCTGCCAATTCATCTAGGTCTAGAGCTGAGCCATCTTCCCATTGATATTCTCTGAGACCTTTGTTTTTGTTGCTGCATTACTAATAGCATTTGTTGAGGTGTCTAGGCTAGCTCCTGTGTTCTGTCTTTGCCCTGTATCATCTTTTCAGCAGGTCCACCAAGCCAATAAAGTTTCTCCCTACCTAATATGGCTGCTGTCAAAGTACTCAGGTAAACAAGTGTCTGGGACATAAGCTTACATTATTTGTTAATAAAATGTAGTCAGCCTGTGGGGATAAGAACTGTCTGCAGTCATGATCTGCAAGCTTTGGGCCAGCTGACAATTTCCAAAACATCTTTTCCAAAGTTACGGAGCCCTTGCTGGAGGCCAGGAGGAAACTCAGTCCCTGAAAGCCAAGCTTTCAACCTGAAATTTAAAAAAGCATATTCAATACTATTGGGATATGTTTTTTCCTCCTTCCTAAGTTCCCACTAAAATGTAAAGGAACTATAAAAGGCCATATATTTACCATTTTCAAGCGAATGTGAGTTGAGAAAGAGTATCACCCACACACCTGCACTACAAGCAATCTTAAAAGGTCATTCCCTCTAGCTGAAAGTTAATGACAGGGTGAAAATGAGTAGGAAGATACTGAGAATTCTGTGCATAAATATGAAAGGGGTGAGTGCAATTATTTATGACATAGGGTACTACAAATAGACTGATAGGTCAAGGAGGCATATTGTAAACTCTTGAGGAGGTGAGAACCTTTTTTCTGCCAAGGGCCATTTAGATACAACATCAAGGGTCATACACAATTATCAGTACAGGCAGGCAGCCTCCAGCAGCTGGTGGAAAGCATACATCTGTTTTGTTGTTTATCAGATGATTGGCCAGATTCCTTACCCCTTCCAGACCACTACCTGAAAATAAAACCAAGAAACATAGCTAAAAAGACAAAAAAAAAAGGAATAAAATATAATACTAAATTAGATTTGATTAATTTACCAACAGAAGTGGGGAGAAAAGAGTGAAAAATAAAAATGGTCATGAAGAAGAGT